TTGTTTGGAGATTGCTTGTTTGGAGATTGCTTGTTTGGAGATTTACACAAGCTTGCTGCCTGGAGTTGTAAGCTCTCCTTCTCAGGGCGTTCCTCTGATCCTTCTCTATTTGAGGTATCCTGCCATCCCTCTTCAGACTCTTCCAAGACTAGATTGAAGTCAACTTGATCCTGGAGAGAAGGAGTAAATGTACCCTCCAAGCTGTCTTCCAACAAATGAGGCTTGAAGAGCTCAACGTGGATTTCTGGTGTAACATTTGATAAACTCAGCACTGCAGAAGCAGAAGGAGGTTCAAGAGCGTGATTCTGCTCTGTCCCCAGGGCTGTGTGTGGGTCAAGTACCTGAATTGACAATTCTGTGTCCCTTTTAGCATTGTCAGCCATGCCAGACTCAGAGGAATGTTGACAGTGCCCAGACAACTTATTACTTGCTTCGGCTGAGCTGTCTGAATGTACATGGGAATGYTGTTTCTCTTGGAGGCTCTGACTCTCTTTCTCAAGTGCAGGGGATGATGGTATAATGCTGGATTCAGGATTTTGCTCAGATTCTTGTATATCAGATTGCTCTGCTGTCTTGCTGGTATCAAGCACTTCTGTCTCCCTACTGGACACATCTTGTGCTACTTTCTCTTCATTCAAGTCATCAATAGTCAGAGTTGTCATTTTGGAGCTGACATCGAGTACCTGGGCCTCTTCATCCTCTGTAAGATCAATAACTTTGTCTTTTTCGTGTGTATCAGCTACTGGTGGGGAAACAAAGTGATTTTTCTTGTCCAACTCCGGAGACAATTTCTTTGGCCCAGAAACCAATCCCAATGGTCTTTGCCACTTTTCTTCACAAGCATTTCTGATTCCTTCCATCCTCTGATCTCTGAGCTGGGACTCCAGCTGGACTAGCTCGTGGGCTTTCTGTACCCTCTGTTGGATATAGTGATGGGCTTCCTCACTCTCCACCTGCTCCTCGTGCGCCATCTCCCTCGTGTAGATCAGGTCGTGGTCAGAAATGCCAAACATTGGCAGAGAATGCAGGTAAGCAAGGTGTTCATCCAGCTGCAGGTCAGACTTCCTTTGCATGGCGTGCAGGGACTGCAGCTGGATCTGAGTTGCAGATGTCCGAGTATCTTCCAGTGTGAAGAGTTCCCTTAGTTCCTGTTTGGAGAAGTAACGGAACGGGTTCTTTTTGTCACCGGTGGTCTGTCTAATTAACGAGTCCTTGAACACCTGCCGCCTGTATATCTTCTCTTCCACAGTGCCACAGGTGATCAGCCTGTAAATCACTACATTCTCTTTTTGYCCAATCCTGTAAGCCCTGTCCACAGCCTGAGCATCTGTTGCTGGATTCCAGCTGGGATCAAAGATCACCACTCGGCTGGCTGCTGTCAAGGTTATGCCAACTCCCCCAACCTGCGTGGTGAGCAGGAAGACAGAGTAGTCTGCATTGCTCTGGAAGGCATTGATGCGCCTCTCCCGCTCCGTCAGGTGGGTCACCGTGCCATCGATGCGTAAAATCTGGAATTGTCTGCGAGACAGGACGAGCTCTATGATATCCAGCATCTTCCTCGACTGTGAGAACACCAGCGTTCGGTGTCCCTCTTCTCTCAGCCGTTCCAGCAGTCCCACAAGGAACTGCATCTTCCCAGACTCCTGGATCATAGTCTCATCAGAGAGATGATCTATTTTATTCATGCCTGAAAGCATACCTGGTTCACTCCTGTAATCCAGCTCAGAGCACTCCTGCTCTTCCAAGCCAAGCTGGATACAGGCTCTCGCAGACAGAAGCCTGGGGTGGTCACAGAGCTTCTTCAGGACTGTCAGCTCAGCCAAAGGTGATCGGGTCGTCATCAGCACTTCCTTCACATGATCCAGGCAAAGAAAGTTCCTGTAGATTTCTTCCTGCACCGGTGCCAGGTACACCCACACAACGAAGTCATTTTTCCTAGTGAGATGTGGCATGACAGGAGCCTTGTTCTCACTCGGATCCTCAGGAAGAGTATCCCCTTTATCAGCATGATAGTTTTTGATGTCTTCCTTGGTCCTTCTGAGGAAATAAGGCCTTATAATGGCCATGAGATTCTCCGATATCTTTAGTCCCAGTGCTTTCTCACCTGGAGTTGCATCCTTCTCCCTCGCCCTAGTTATAGGATTCTCATATTCCATTTTAAAAGTTTTGGCAGTTCCCAGGAGGGAGCCTTGGCAGGCAAAGTCAAACAAGGACCACATTTCCCGCAGGTTGTTCTGCACAGGGGTGCCCGTGAGCAGGATACGGTGCTGGGCCGGGATTGCATACACACATCTGGTCGTCTTGTTTGATGGACACTTGATCTTGTGTGCCTCGTCAAGAATGACATAGTCCCAGACAAACTCCTGCTCGTGGCGGCTGGCCAGCTGCTTCCAGTTGTTAATGAGCATCTGGTAGCTCGTGATGATGATGCCGTTCTTCCTCTGGACCCTCTCTAGGTTCCTGGTGCGCTCTGTCTTGCTGCTGCCATGGAACTCCTTGACACGTAGGCCGGGGGTCCATTGTGCGAACTCAACCAGCCAGCTGCTGACCAAGGTGGTGGGCATGATGAGCAGGACGTGTTGGATGAGCTCAGCATCGAACATACCCGAGAGGAAGGCGATTACCTGGATGGTCTTGCCCAGGCCCATGTCATCTGCCAGGATGCCACCAGGCTTGCCCTCCCGGTGCAGGCGGTASAGGAATGCAACACCTTCCCGCTGGTGCTGGAATAGCTTCCCGTGCATCTCCCCATAGATCAGCAGGCCGCTGCCGCACACGTCCACGAAGCCCTCCTCTTCCTCCTCCTGCTGCTGCTCCTGCTTGGCCGCAGCCAGCGCCTCCTCCACCTGCTGCATGCGGCCCCGCAGCTTCTCGCTGGGGCGGATAGCAGCCGCCAACTGGAACAGCCGCAGCGCCTCCGCCAGGTCCCCGTCGCCTGTCGCCGCTTTCGCGCTGGTCACGAGCCTGCGGGAGTCACGGTGAGCACCGGGCGGCCGAGTTCAGGCTGCATCCGGGAGAACCAACCCGCCGGCCCCGACCCCGGCCCCGGCCCCGGCCCCGGCCCCGGTCCCGGCCCCGGCCCCGGTCCCGGCCCCGGTCCCGGTCCCGGCCCCGGCCCCGGCCGCCACCGCTGCCCCAGCCTGCCCACGGGCCCCCCGGCCGTTCAGCCCCGTCCCCGCTCACCGCCGGTACTGCTCCTCTTCGGCCCCCGCCTCTCCCGGCCCAGGGGCGGCCATGGCGCTCCCGCTGCCGCCCTGCGCTTCAAACCCGGCCCTTCCCGTCCTGCACCGCGCCACATGTAAATCAGCAGCGCCCTCAGCCAGTCAGCGCTGGAGACGGGAGCGGGGGGCGGGGCCTCGGACGAGCGCTGCCCGCGCCTTCTCCCGGGCTGGGGTGACACCGGGAGCGGCGCCGGTCCCTTTCCCGCCGTGCGCTGCATCGGGAGGGGGCCCGGCAGACCCGCAAGCCCCCCGCTCTCGGCGCGCTCCCSGTTCCTGCCGCGCCAGCGGTGCACGGGCGCGGACACGGGCGGTGGGATCCTCCCGCCGGCAGGGGGCGCGGCGGCGGGCGCCACTCTGCTCCGCGCCCGTGAGCAGCGCGGAGTCGCTGGGAGACCGAGCGCCGCCATGGAGGCGCGCGCCGCGGGCTGCGGCCTGCTCGTATCCACCGCGCGCGGCGGGAGCGGGCGGGCGGCGCGGGGAGCGGCGGGGCGGGGCAGGCCGGTGAGCGGAGGTTTCCTTAACTACAGCGCAGAGCGTTACCGGCGCGGAGGTGCGGGCCGGCCGGCGAGAGCCGTGTGTTCTCGGCCTGGAGCGGCGGGCCGGCCGCTACGGGTGAGTGCGGGCCGGGCGGAGCCTGGCTCGGCTCGGTTGGTGCCGGTGCCGCTGCCACAGCCGTCGTGACTCTCGGGAACCATGAGTGCCCCCCCCCCGGCGGGCTTCCCTCACCCTGCGGCGGAGAGCCGCGGGACCGGCGCTCCGGAGGTGCCTTCCCGGGTCCCCGATGCTCCTCCGGCAGCCAGAGCTCGCTGCGACTCCGATGTTGGATCTGCCCCATGGCAGGGAGAGTTCAGCAGTTCTTGCTTCTCCCTCTGGGCATCGACGTCCTGCACAGTCTCACCTTCGTTACCTTTTTCGTCTTCCTGCCCCCGCAGCTTAGCGAYAGAAATCAAACATTGTGTCTCTATGCACTCAAACATTCTGCCTCTGTACACACAGCTCCCGTTTGTGTATATGTGAGCAGGGCGTTGGTGCCGGATCTTTACAAGCCTTCCTTCTGTGTGCAGGATCGTTATTCGCTCCCAGGAGAAAGAAAACTCTGATCCGGATTACATTCCCATCAACAGCCGCTTTAAATGTGTGCAAGGTACTGACTGCTGGGGGGAAGGTTGCGAATCTTCTGCAGTTCATCCACAAACCCCAAATTTAGTGGTATTTTCTGACCTTCCTCCTTAGCCAATGTGGATTGAATCCTTCCTGGTGAGACAGCAACTCATGTAGTATGAAATCCTCTTGTTCCTCATCCAAGTGGGTTGTCATTCCATATCAGCGTGCAGTTGTGAGGAACTTGGCTGGCTCCAATGCATGGTGGGCTGGGCATCACACAGAGCCAGCACATGCAGAACCTGGTTTCAGGGGTTGGCATTTGGTGTTTGCTGGTGTCTGTCTCTTGGGCTTCTCTGCTATGCCAAGAGTTGGGAGCTGTTGCCTTATCCCTATGTGTTTGCATTTAAACTTCCTTWAGGTCTAGCAAGCTCTCAGCTCCCAACAGCTACCTGTTGGATGAGGAAGGACTTTAGGCTTTGTCTTGGAAAGACTTAAATAGCAGCAAGTGGCCCTGGGGCAAATCCTTGTCAGGAATAAAAGCACCTTTTCCTGGATTTGCTCATTCCCTTCTGTGCAGCTCAGTGATGTTCTGTCCCTGGTCTTGCTCTGTAGAGAAGCTCTGAAGTTCCTTGTCAAGTTGGTCTTTCCCAAAGTAACTGTACTGATGGGGGAAAACCATCCAGGTATATGAAAACTGTGGTGGGAATCTCCCTGGCACACTTGTTGGGAGGTGACTGTCCAGGTTCCCTCTGCCAGAACTGTTAAGAATATACAGATATAAATTAGAGCTCTTTGTTCCTTTGTCAGGACTCTTTTATGGCTGGTAGCAGGTAGTGTAATTATGTGAGTCCTCAATTTCTGCAGCATCCAGCATGAGCTCTGCTGATCCTGTTTTTCTCTTTTCCAGAGGCAGAAGAAACTCTGCTGATTGATATAGCAACAAACAGTAAGTTTTATAAGGGCGATGGTGTGGCTAAAGGTCCTGTCACGGAACAGCCACTGGTGCTTGTTTTGCCCTCCAATCTTCCCCCAGACTCTGTGTTTGTCCTCTGCTCAAACAGGGATTGTTTTCCTTCTGATGTTGTCATCTGGCTCTGTGAGACAGTCAGTTATCATAACAGACAAGGTTTGAAATGCAAACAATTGAAATGTTTGCAGTTTTTCTTCCTGCTTTTAGACCTCTGTGAGATTGCAATAGGGAGAAGGATTCCTAAAGCCAGGAGAAAGTGTTGGGTATACTCCAGGTGGGGTGAGGGGCCTCAGAAGCACAGGGAGAGTAACYTAGGTGCAGGTTTCCATCAGAAACAACACCTGGAAGCTGGCTGGGAAGCCTGGTGACTCTGAGCCAGCCTGGGCTGACTCAGTGAGTGTGTTTGAAGCAGGCTGCAAGGTCCGGATACAGGGTGACGAGACACCAGAGCGGCTCTTCGAGATCCCTGACGAGGAGCACTGCTTRGGGTTCCTGTCGGAAGTGCAGAGCATACAGGAAGGTGAGCAGAGCTGCACCTGTGTTTGTGAAATCCTCTGTCAGCAGCTTCTGACAGGTATGGTGTTCTTTTCCAGCCCACCTGAAAGCRTCTCTTCCCGAATCTAAGGACTCAGCCATCTGGCATCAGGTGGAGAAAAGCCTCACAGGTCTATCGCAGGCCTCCTCTCCAGGTACAGTTGGYTTTGCTCTGAGGTCTGTGCAGTCCTGGGGTGTCCAGGGTGGGAGCTGAGTCTGGCCCTGCTTCCTTGTCTGTGCATTCCTTCCTGAGTGCTCTTTTCTGCCTTTGTGCACGTTAAGCTCCTTCCTGCCTTGACTTGTGGTTAGTACCCTTTTCTCCCATTGCCAGAGTCACACAGTTGATACATCCCAGCTATCATTTGGTTTTTTGTTTTATGTGGAGTTTTATCTTCTTCTTCTTGGTCTGAGCTGTTTCAGATTGTTTCTCAGGGTGTTGTTCTTGGATTTTTCATTACAGGAGCTCTGGGGTTTGAGGATGACTTCAACACTCTGAGCCTAGAGGAGAAAAGAAACATGCAAAACCACCAAACGGGATCTCGGCGGGAGCCCCCGCCTCCTCCTGTCCCTCCAAATAAGCAGTAAGTAAGGCAGGGAGTCTGTTCCCTTTTTTATTTTTCTTCCTAGACAGCAGAAATAGTTCTAGTGGTGCTCTTGCTTCCTTCCTAGATTTCACCAAGAAAGAGAAGGTACATCCAGAGAGCAGCCCAAGGTGACCAACACAATGCGCAAGATGTTTTTTCCCAGCACGCAGTCAGGGCAGAGAGAGGGGCTCATCAGATACGTGCTGGCCAAGAGGGAGAAGGCCTACATCAACCTTCACAACTTCAGGTGAGACGTGGGAGGGAAGGACAGAGCTGTGGGATCTCTCCTGTGAGCTCAGATCTCACCCAGGATTGTACCCTGGCAGCTACTGGTGGGTTGCAGCTCAGGTGGCCAGTGAGGATGGTGCAGCCCAGAAGTCAGCAAGTGTCCGTGGTGCAGCTGCTCCTTTTGTCTTCTCCCTGTGTGTGTCAGATCTCCTGAGCCTTGGTAAGGCTGGAGCAGTTGTGCAGAAARGGTGAAAGATGTCCCACCATGGTGTCCTGGTGTTGCCCCCCGTGACGTGGTGTTAAAAGAGCCAGATGTTTGCTGGTGGAATGTCTTACTCCGAGAGGAGTGTCACTGGGGTGAGCCAGACCTGGGGGAATTTTTGAGAAGTGGCTGAGGGAGCTGGGAAGGCTCTGCCTGGGGAAAAGGAGGCTCAGGGARAACCTTCTGGGTTTTCACAACTCCCTGACATGAGGGGGCAGCCAGGTGGGGTTGGGCTCTGCTCCCAGGGAACAGGACAAGAGGAGATGGCCTCAAACTGCACCAGGGGAGGCTCAGGCTGGAAATCAKCAAGAACTTCTTCAGAGAAAGGGTGGTCAGGATTTGGAAGGGGCTGCCCAGGGAGGTAGTGTGCTCTCTATACCTGTAGATGTCCAAGGAACAATTGGACATGGCACTGAGTGCTCTGGGCTGTGTGACAAGGTGGGGGTTGGGCACGGGTTGGACTCGATTCCTGGAGGTCTTTTCCAGCCTCACTGATTCTGTGAATTTCAGTTCCCCCATGGCCGGTGAGGACYCATACAAGGACAGCTCACAGTGCGTGCTTACAGCCGGAACTCTGCTGTGCTGCTGTGGTTTTCMCTGTGTTTTCTAACAGCTCAACTGCTTTTGTGTTGTAGGTTCTTTGTGGGAACGTGGAATGTGAATGGGCAATCTCCTGACAGCCTCTTGAATCCGTGGCTGGTGTGTGACATGGAGCCTCCAGACTTCTACTGCATTGGGTGAGCAGCAGTGACCTGCATTTACTGACTGGGCTGGATCCTTGTTGCTCTTGCAGGGATCCAGGAGGGCTGGGTTTGGTTTTGGTTCTCCTGTCATGCTCTCAGAGGCTGCACAGAGCTGGTCTGTGTCACACAGGSGCCATCTGAGTGCAAAAAGCCATCAGATGAGGCAGAGGATCGTGTTGAACAAAGCTGGCATGACATAATAGATTTTCCTGGAGACATTCCCAGAGCTCACTTGTTTTCCTCTGCCTAAAGGGATGTTCCTTAGGGAGAACTTCACTGGGGGGTTTGGGGTAGGATCTCAGAGGCAYTCTGGGGAAATTCTACTGCTTTATTTTAGCAATTGGCAATAAGGAGCTGTTCCTTGAAGGGCTGTTGCTGGAGGTTTCACATTCCTGTAGGAAGAGGGGGATGTGCAGGAGGGCTGGAGGTGCTAAGCTCTTGGGTTTCCAGGTTCCAGGAGCTGGACCTCAGCACGGAGGCCTTTTTCTACTTTGATTCTACGAAGGAGCAGGAGTGGCTGGCTGCTGTGGAGAGGGCCCTGCACCCTAAGGCCAAATACAAGAAAGTGAGTTCTGCTCAKTGGCATGGGGTCTTGTTATGGAGCTGGCATGAGGGGAAGGAAAAATGGAAGAGGCTTCCCCTTTCCTCACCTGTCCAAGGAGCAAGGCTTGGAGAAACCAAGGGTGGTACTGGGCATATGGATGCCTGGGCATGTGTCAAGTGTGCCAAATTAAATCTGGAGAGTCTGCTTCTGCACCACAGTTATAGGGAAATACTGTGCTTTGAAGTAGAGATTTATAAAGGTGGGGATTTGATACCCTTATCAAATAGAAGGTAGGTGCCAGGGAAGTAGCAGGTTCAAATTCTCTACCTCTATTACCTTCTCATCCTGTAGTATAGAAGCCAGGTGTGTCTTGAGCTGGCTAAATAAATTAATATMTTTTCCCTGAAGGAATGGGATGATTTATGAAGTGAAATCTTCCAGAGGCTGCTGCCTTGGGTCAGAATTGCTTCAACTGTGGCAGCAGGACTTCGTTCTGGCTGGGTTAGAGCAAGACGTTGGTTTTATCTCTGCTGTGACAAACSTTTCTGCTGCACTAAATGCATGAATGGGTTTCCCCTTCCTCCTTAGGCTGTGTGTTTCATTGTCATACTCCATCCTGCATGTTCTGAGCCAAGCTGTTCCCTGTTACAGGGAACGAAGCAGGGAATAGAGCATCTTGCTGAACTGAGACCCATTGAGAGGACCCTGGAATCATGGCCTGAATTGCAGAGAGGCTCCTGCTCCCTCCTGTCCCTTTGCTTCACTTCAGTTTTGGGTGATTTTCTCCCAGCTTGGTGAAAGGGAGAGCACAGGATATGGCTGCAGGAGGGGGAAGTGGCTGAAACTGTAGATAAGGCTTGTTGTTGCTTGCAAATTGTGCCACTCCAGACCCGAGTGCTGGGCTCTTGCAGCTGAATTCTCTGCTCTCAGCTTCTTTTTTCACGCCATGGCTTAATCCCAACGCCTGTGAATATTCCTGTGCCTAGAGGTGAGCATACAGACTGTGCTGAAGCAGGTGAGGCCTTGTCACTGTTTCAGAGTGGTGACATGACTGTTTTGGAGGTGCAGGCAGGTCACAGACTGGGCAGTGTTGGTTTAGCACATGTAAAAAAGATAAGCAGCAGACCTGAGATCCCCACTGGAACCAGGCATGTGAGCACGGTGTTAACCCCTGTGGGCCRAGCTCTGCAGGAGTGGAGAGCTGCTCAGATCCAGAGATGCCCTTGGCTCTAAGGAGCAAGTATTTCCTGAAAATGAGTCAGTCTGKGCAGCTCAGAGGTGCCTTTTGCTATGCCATGCATCAGGTATGCCTGCCTCGGGGAAATAAGAACATCTCTGTCCATTCCCCTCTGCACTGGAGTCTGGAGGAAGCCAGTGTGAGCTCTGATTCCCACTGCACCTGCAGCCTCAGGACAGCCCCAGCTGTAGCCCTGGTTGGAGCACTCAGGGGCTTCTCTGCTTGTGCTGGTTACAGAATGGCAAGGGCTGAGACCTGAGTCACAAACCTGCCGTGATTTATTCAGTTTCTCTTTGCCCACCCTATTGTAGGGAGGGACCAGGGTGGGGAATGCAGTGAGCCCAGCATGGCTGGCAGCTCCTGGGGGCTGACAGATGGAGCCCAAGAATCTTGCTGTGGACAGGAGACTCTTTGAGTTCTGCTATTGCAATTAGAGATTGAGTACAGAACATGAAGAATAGGCAGAGGCARAGCATCAGGCAGAGCAGATCAGAACTGTATTCCCACTCCCTCTCTGGGAATTCAGGATCCCGTTTATTTTTGCAGGTGCAAATGGTCCGCCTAGTTGGGATGATGTTGCTCATATTTGCTAAGAAGGATCATCTGAGCAATATCAGAGAGATTGTGACAGAGTCTGTGGGCACAGGAGTCATGGGAAAGATGGTGAGTCACCAAGGCCAGCTTGTTGCTTCCCTGCATCCATGCAAGAAGTGGCACAGTCTGGTTCACCTGTGCCATCCCAGTTCCCTCCCCATGTCTCACCTGCCACTTGCTCCAACCCCACTGGTCCCTCCTGTCCCCAGGGCAACAAGGGTGGTGTGGCCATCAGGTTCATGTTCCACAACACCACCTTCTGTATCGTCAACTCCCACCTGGCTGCCCACGTGGAGGACTTCGAGCGCCGAAACCAGGACTACAAGGACATCTGTGCCCGGATGAGCTTCATCATCCCCAATGAGAGCCTGTCTGAGCTCAACATCATGAAGCACGAGTGAGTTCTACCCTTTGGAAGTGCTGTCAAGTAACCCACATCAAGTCAGAATTGCAGCAACAGGAGGTTTCATGCAGATAAGTTTTCTGGGTTAATGAAATAATTTGAAGTCCCAAGGGCTGTGGTGTGCTGCAGATAAACTGGTCACCTCCTCACCGTGGTGCCTTGTGCACCCTGTCCCCAACGTCCCTCTCCTTGCATTTGTGTATAACTTCCTTTTCAGCAGGGTAAAACAGAGTACAAATGGTTGGTACTTCTGTAATTAATACTTAAACTATTTAAAAACCAAAAATGTAGAGTGGATTAATACAGAAAAAAACTTCACATATTAGATTATCCTTGATAATCCACTAATGGAAATGTTGAGGTTTGACTAAAAACAGGAAGAGCTGTGGTACTAGYGAGGGGTTTATATTTTAATCTTTAAATGAAATCTTCATGGAGTAAAGAGTGAGTCCCATGAGTTGTTTCATTAGCTTCTGATAACAAGAAGGCTGTAGGCCTGTTTGGAAGCCTGGAGAGGAGCAGGGCGGGAGTGGGTGCTGATGGCTGAGATGGGAAACAATGTCCAGAAGATTGTAAACTCCAGGAACCTAATTCTGTTTCTGCTAATTCTGTGTCAGGCAGTCTTGGCTCAGTAGGTGGTGCAGCAGTGGCCTGCTCTGATTGAAGGAAAGGCAGTGAAAAACCAACAGGTAAAAAACAGGGTGTCACATGAGGGACCCTGCAGATACAGGTGCCTCACCTGTCCCACTGGCTGACAGGCTGGCTCTGCTTAATGAGCTCCACCATTGCCCTCTTCCAAACATGAGAAGAGCCTCAATACCGGCTGGATTTTGTGTGAAGCTTGGTGGGATACACTGGTTTTGCTTCATTAGAGAGTCAGTGCTGTTCTTTGGCTTTTTTCAGGCTGAGTCAAACACGTTGTTTCCTATTAACCAAGTCTTCARTCTTTGGGGAATTCCAAAGGAGATGGACTTAGTCCTGTAGGATCTGCTGTCAATAGAAATTTCTGCTGTTGGACTCAATCTTTAATGTCTCCTTTTTGTCTTCCATATGTCTCAGCCTTAATGTGATTTAAAAAAGGGAGATGTTAACTGCTGATCTGCTCTCAAAAATCTACTCTGTGAGGGTGGTGAGGCCCTGGSACAAGTTGCCCAGATAAGCTGTGGCTGCCCCATCCCTGGAATTGTTCAAGGCCAGGTTGGACAGGGCTTGGAGCAACCTGGGATAGTGGAAGATGCAGGGGGCTGGAACAAGATGAGCTTTAAGCTTGCTTCCAAACCAAACCATTCCATGATCCTATGTGCATCTGTTTGCAGTGTTGTCATCTGGCTGGGAGACCTGAACTACAGACTGTGTCTGCCAGATGCAAGTGAAGTGAAGAATCTCATCAGCAAGAACGAGCTTCAGAAGCTACTGACATATGACCAGGTCAGTGAACTTGCTCATGTTTGCCCCATCCTTAGGTGACACCATCTTGGTTTAGGATATGCCTCTGCTTGGGAGGAGCTGGCAGACATGGAGCTGGGGAATGGGCTGGAGAACAGGTCTGATGAGGAGCAGCTGCGGGGCTCAGCCTGGAGAAAAGAAGGCTCAGGGGGGACCTTCTCGCTCCCTACAACTCCCTGAGAGGAGGGTGCAGCAAGGTGGGGATTGGTCTCTTCTCCCAGCTAACAACTGGCAGGACAAGAGGAAATGGCCTCAGATTATGCCAGGAGAGGTTCAGGTTGGGTATTAGGGAAATTTTTTTTTATAGAAAGAGCTGTGTAGCCATAGCATGGGCTGCCCAGGGCAGCAATGTCCATGTTCCTAGAGTGATTTAACAGACACGTAGATGTTGCACTTGGGGACACGGGTAGTGGTGGCCTTGACAATGCTGGGGGAACAGTTGGACTCAAAGGTTTTGGAGGGCTTTTCCRATCTACATAATTCCATGACACACTGCAATAAGGGTCTGGACACAGACATAAATACTGGACCCTGACAGAGCTCTGGGTGTAGTGGTTGCAACAACCCCCGCTAAATAAAACCAGATTGTCTAYACTGGGGTAACTGGGTGACTCAGGCAGTCACTGTGTATCTGTGTCTCAGTGCAGGATTTCTCTCTTAAGTAGAAACTACAAGCTGAGCACAGGCATTTATAACATCAACAAACCTGCTGTGATCAGTGTTGGGCAAGAGGSGTGGATTTGGAGCCCAAATCTGCTCAGCCAGTTTGGCCTGAATTCTGTGCTGTCACCTTCCCTAAAGCACATGGAAACTAGCAGCAGGTACCTTTCAGGTGAAGGATTACACCTGTGAAACATGAACAGCAGTGGTGCAATATCACCTCTGGCACAGTTTAACAGTAAATTTGGTTGATTGTCCTCTGTAGTTCATTTTGGCTGTACTGCAGAACTTCATGCAGGAAACAGCTTAGTTTAGGTTTTAGTGAGGAAAACATCTAGGAGATTTTTCAGAAGAGGAAACAAGCAAAGGCGGGTGATGTCAGGTTGTCAACCAAGTTGCAAGTTTGGAGGCTCTTGCTAAAATGATTGGCAGGGAAAGATTAGTGATGGCAATAYTAAGCCTGATGAAGGCATTTAGCAATTAATATCTCCTGTAACTCTTGTCTGATGCTGCCTGCATGGTCTGGTGAGCACTACTGTGCTCATTTGTGCTCAGTCAATTCGGAAAACATTCCATTTATGGATTGAATTGTTACCTCTTTTAAAAGTGTGAGGTCTGAGAGGCACTTTGGGGGCATCTGTGAATCCCGTGGCCACAGGTTGTGGTTGCTCTGCCTGTACATTTGCTCTCTGACACTGCTGTGGCAGGGGAGGGTTTCTTGGGTTTGGTTTGGTTTTTGGTTTGGGTTTGGTTTGAGTTTTTTTTTCTTTTAAAGCTTTCTTTTTCTGCTTTAGCTGAATATTCAGCGCACTCAGAAGAAAGCATTTGCWGATTTCATGGAGGGAGATATTAAATTCATCCCCACGTATAAATATGACTCTAAAACAGATCGCTGGGACTCCAGGTACATTGGCTGCCACTGGGTGTATTTACCTATGACGTAAAATGCATTTTCTCACAAAACTTGATTTCCTGCTTYCTAGAGCTGTGAATATCTGTCAGTGTTATGTTTGGCCTTCCTTTCTTTCCCACTTTCTGCAATTAGCAGCCCCTGTGTATGTTGACCAGGCACATCCCTTAAACCTCTGTTGCTGCTGATCCCACTGGATGAAGGCAGGTGAAGTGTGTGCTCAGGTGACCCTGCACTGGGGGCTTTTTCTATTACCAGGGACAGGCAAACAGTATAAAAAGGAAATGAAGAGCTAAGGAAACAGGCTCTCTGAGTCAGGCTGGCCCCTGACTTGTGCAGCCCCAGGGTGGCTGCATTGCAATAGCAACTGTGGTTTCTGCTTGGTGCTTCCTACAAACATGGCTGCATCTGCTGCGGGGGCTGCTCCAAAGGGAGAAACTCCCAAGAAGGACTTCAAAGCCACATAGTGATTTATTTTGACTGTGCCATGTTTATGAATCAGCATGGTAGTTAATCTCAAGAAGGATAACCCAGGGTTCAGGCTTCATAACATAATAGTAATCGCTGACTTTCTGTAGTGGAAACAATAAGCAATGGGTTGGACTGTGGACAGGAAGGTCTGGCAGCAAAAGAAAGTCATGCAGCTTGGGTCACAGCACACATGGCTTCAGGGTGTGGAAATGGGATTGGCTGAGGGTTGTTTTGCTTCCTGGTGCTGGAAAGGATGGGAATTTTATCTGCTGTATTGAAAAAGGGGAAGAGAGCACAAGAAATAACAGAATTCAAGTTGGGGTAAGTGATGAGTTCATCCCATCACTACTGTGATGGTGTGGGTGGAGGGAAATGCCTTGTTGGGAAGAGGAACAGCTTGGATGGTTTGTTGGCCTTGCTGGATTTCCCTGGTAACCTGTTCTTCTTCGTAGTGGGAAGTGTCGTGTGCCAGCATGGTGTGATCGGATCCTTTGGAGAGGAGGCAACATCAACCAGCTCCGGTACTGCAGTCACATGGACCTCAAGACCAGTGACCACAAGCCCGTCAGCGCCCTTTTCCACATTGGGGTAGGATTGTGTTTATGTTGGGGCAGGACCACAGCACTGCCAGGTATTGCAGGCGTTACCTTGGGAAGTGGCGATGGAGTCAGGGCRCCTTGCCAAGGCTGTGCAAGAGGACAGATAAACCCAGCTGAGGTGTGCCTGCTGTGAGGGTGCTGCATCTGGCTTCACTGGAATGGGTGTTCCCTGTGTTTCCTCCTCCACATGGAGACACAGCAGGAGCTTGGATGTGGTTGTATCTGTGCTGCCTCGGATGTGTCATCTGATTCACACCTGAATGTCTTCATTGRAGAGCGGCAGCGGGTTTGGGTTTTCTGGTGCAGTGAATGGGGATACTCCATGTCGATTTTTGCCACCTCCTGCTCACTGTCAGCTCAGGTCTCACAGAATGGGTCAGGCTGGAAGGGASCACAGTGGGTTRTCTGGTCCCACCATCCTGCTCAAGCCAGGGTCATCCCAGAGCACATGCACAGTATTGTGTCTACATGGTTCTGGACACTCTCCAGTGAGGGAGATTTCATAGCTTCTCTGGGAAATCTGTTTCAGTGCTTGGTCACCCACACAGTGAAGAAGTTCTTCCTCACGTTCAGGCGGAACTTCCTGGACATCAGTTTATGCCCATTCCTCTTGTCCCATTGTWGGGCCTCACGGAACACAGCCTGGTCCATGCTCTAAGCCCTCCCTGCAGACAGGGAGAGACAGGGATGAGGTCCCTTTTCAGCTGTGTCTCCTCTCAAGGCTGAACAGCCCCAGCTCCCTCAGCCTTTCCCTGTAAGAGAGATGCTTCAGGCCCTTCAGCATCTCTTGAGTTTCGCTGAACCTGCTCCAGGAGCTCCATATCTCTCCTGTAGTGGGGAGCCCAGAACTGGACACAGCACTGCAGGTGTGCCTCACTTGGGCTGAGTAGAATAGGCTGAGTCTCTTTAAAGGAGAGCCTTTCTCCTTTCCCTCTGGAGAATCACAAGGAACGCTGCAGCATGCCAGTGCTGTCCCACTGAGATCGCCTCCRTGATCTCCCAGTTGTGTGACCAGTGGCCAGACAGACCCTTGTAATATCTACAGGGGTGAAATCTGCGTGAAGTTGCCGCTGCAGCTTGGTCGTGTACTCAGGTGTGTGAACACGCAGCCTTTCAGCTGCAYAGGCAAGTGCCTAGAGAAGTAATTCACTTCTGCAGTTTGCTCATGATCAAGGGAGTTCCTGTGAAAGCCAGTCAGAAGCTTTGCTGAGTGTTTTTTGTCTCCCACAGGTGAAGGTTGTGGATGAACAGAAGTATCGGAAGCTATTTGAAGACATTGTTCGTCTCATGGACAGGATGGAGAATGACTTTCTTCCCTCGCTGGAGCTGAGCAGGAGAGAGGTGAAACTGGAATCACTGTCATCTCCCAAACAYAGCAGCCTTTAAAGTGCCAGATCTGCTTTCAAAGACTTTGGTTCAATAAACTGGATTACAGAAAATCGAACTCTATCCTTTATCTWATGATCAGGAATTGGGTTATAGAGGACATGTCTTGACTTCTTGCAGGACTTCTGTAAGGATTTCTGCATTGGGTGGGCTTCTTTCAGCCATAGAGGGCCACTGCAGAGTTGGGGGGTGCGGGCCATATGCCATATCCTGGCCACTAATGCCACTTGAATTCTTTGCTCACAGTTCGAGTTTGAGAATGTGAAGTTCCGTCAGCTGCAGAAACAGAAGTTCCAGATTACCAATAATGGGCAGGTCACCTGTCACTTCTCCTTCATCCCAAAGCTCAACGACCGCCACTACTGCAAGCCATGGCTTCGGGCTGAGCCYTGTGAAGGTTACCTGGAGCCAAGTGAGTGGGCTGCTGTAGACCTCCCATCCCATCTCCCTTCAGTCCTTGCTGTCTTTCCCGTGTCCCACCTTTCTTGYCACCAAGTCTTGTCTGTCTTTTCTSTTGTGGCCTTTGTCCCTGCCCATTGTATGTTTGTCCTTGCCATCCCTTTTGGAAACAATCCATGTGTTCTTGAAAGCTCYGCTGTGTTGCAGGTGAGAGCACAGAAATCTCCCTGGATGTGTACGTCAGCAAGGACTCAGTCACCCTGCTGAACTCTGGCGAGGATAAAATCGAGGATATTCTTGTGCTGCACTTGGACCGAGGGAAGGACTATTTCCTGACCATCAGTGGGACCTACCTGCCCAGCTGCTTTGGCACCTCACTCGAGGCCTTGTGCCGAATGAAGCGACCGATCAGAGAAGTTCCAGTCACCAAACTCATAGACCTGGTGAGTTCTGGAGAAGCTCTCAATCTGGAGAGGCCTGATTCCCTTCTGATTGCWTCCAAAAGCAGGAGTAGTGCCTGCAGCTCGTGTCAGCTGTGCTGGCTCTGAGTGACTTCGCAGAGCTTGAGGTKCTCTTTTGTTCTCCCCCTCTACCACAGCCGATGGCTTTTGACAGCCTGTGCTTTATCTCTTTTTTCTGAATGGTCTCTAAACATTTGYTGGATCACAAAAAGTGATCCCAGCAGCTTGTGTTGGTGTTACTGGTACTGACAAGCTCAGCTGGGCGGCACTACTGTGTCATAAGATGTGCCTGAGGTCCTCTCCTCCAAGGTACCAGGGCTGCTTCTGCTATAACAAGTGCCCCGGGAGCCGTTTCCTTCTGGATGTGTTCCCACTTCTCGGGAAGGAGCAAGCAGAAGCAGGAAGACTGAAGGAAAGGCTGTGGTATGGGTGTGGGGTGTGCAAGGGCACAGCTCAGCAGATGAGCACTGTCATGGCCTCTCTGGCCATTTCCTAATGCCTTGCATGAGAGAGAGCTCATCAGTGAGAGAACTCTCTGTGGTGCAGCGAACTGTTCAGCCCCCCAGCATCAATAGTCCTCCTCCCAAAGCCCATTGTGTGCATGAGAGTGGTGCAGTTGTGCCCGAGTCACCTCTTGTCCTTTGGCTATCTCTCATAGCTCGGGTTAAGCCCCATTTTGGAGATGTAATTCTGATTTCCAGACTGGTTTCATTCATCTCTTCTTACTGCCTTGCCTGGCTGTGTTCCAGTGAGGTGCAGCAGCTCCTGAATGCCAGTCCATGTCCCCRTTCTTGTTCAGCCAGGAGAGTTGTTTCTTTCTGTCCACCTGAAAGCTCAGCCCCATTGTTTGCCATGTGATACCTTCCCTCTCCTCTTGTGCATCACAATCTCACCCTTACCTGCGGGACTTTTTTGTGCAGTAAATTGCTACTTTTCCGCCTCTGTAGATTTGCCAGCTTCCACTCCCATTGCTTCCACATTTTCTCWGCCCTTCAGCAGTTGTCCCATGCCTCTGCCTGCCTCTTCCAGTTCCCATCTTTTATTGTAGGTATTTAATTTTCTCACAAGTCTAATATACAGAAAAGTCAGTTTTATATCAGAATTTTGACTTTGTAACACACAATCAAGCTAAGCAGGATCCAGGTGGCAAGATGCAGCATTTGCCTCCTCAGGTCAAGCAACTGATCCAGGCTTTAGGCTCCTTAGACTTCTCAGAATTTGGTTGAAAGTCAGTCTTGTTCTAGAAGTGGGTCTGGAACATTCCACTAGCCTTGATTGCTTTTCTACCTGCTTTTTCCTGCTCAGCATTAACTTCTTGCTTGATGAAGAGGAACTTGGGCCCAAGTTCTTGGCTCTGCCCTCACAGACACACTGTTAGATTTGTAAGAGTACTTTGAGGCTTATTCTCCTTCCTTTACCTGTAGATTTCCTTCTCCTGTTATTTGGTGAAACGTAGAAATACAGGAAGCAAAACAATCAGCAAAAAGCACAGCTCTCCTTATGRACATGGGGGATATTTTAAGTCTTTGGGTTCTGATTTTACCTGTGAGCTGAGAAATCGTTGGAGTCAGGCCAAGCTGAGCACTTACTGCCTGGATCAGTGGTGCAGGTGCTGCCTGCCCTGCAGCCTGGAGCATTTGGGTACAGTTACCTGAGTATTGTTGCTGCTAAGGCTGTGTGAGGCTGGCAGTGTCTGTGCCTTAAAAACCTCCTGCACTTGCATGCTGTTAGAGCTCATCCTTYGCTGCATGCAGTGTTTAGCTCATCCTGGCCCGATTTTGTGCTTTTCAAAGGAAAGAGGTCTGGAGATCTRGTCACCAAGGGGCTGAGGTGGGTGGGTGCGGGGTAGCACGGTGTAGGTGGGAGTTTGTCTGGGAATAGCTCTCCTGGTTCTCCCAGGAGGGAGACACTGACACGGCTACTGTCAGTTGTGCATCTCTCCTCTGGGATTTCAGGATGARTGTCTCATCGTGTTTTTTCTTGGGATCCTACTGTGGGTTTTAAAAAGCCTCTCAAAGAATCCATCAGGAGCAGGTGAATCTTGTGGAGCAGATCATGCTGAAGGCTCAACATTAGGGAGAAATTATTCCYTGTAAGGGTGGGAGGCMCTGGCACAGGTTGCCCAGATCTGCTTTATCCCTGGCAGTGTCCAAGGCCAGGTTGGATGGGGCTTGGAGCAGCCTGGTCTRATGGAAGGTGTCCCTGCCCATGGCAGGAGAGTGGAACAAGATRAGCTTTAAGGTCCCTCCCAACCCAGAGCATTCCATGATTCTGTGGAGAGGTGAGCAGCCAGGCTCGGGCTGCAGGGTGTGGGGGGAGGCTGGAGATGACTCACCCGTTACAAAAGGAGCCTCTCCCGTGCTGTCTGCCCTCCCAAAGCTGCGACTGTGTCACTCCCCCTGTGCCTCAGGAGAGAAACCTGTGCCAGCTCCTKTTCGGAGCAAGCTGTTCCTGGGAAGAGGCCGGTCTGTTGTGGCTCTGTTAGAACTCAGGGAGCCTCCAAGGAAGGGGGCATTGCAGAGGCCCCCGGGAGCCCGAGATGCTGCTCCCTGCCGGTGTCCCTGTGCCATGGGAGCTGCAGCTGCTCGCAGCTCAGCCTGGGAACGCACTGGGGCTATTCCCACCCTGAAAGCTTCRTCTGCCAAGACTCAGCATGGACAACCTGCTTCCGTTCCCTCCTGCAGACTCCGGGAACAGCCGGCCCTGGCTGTTCAGGGATGGCTGTTTGGGGATGCTGAGGGCTTGGCTGTGCCGCCTGAAGGCTTGGCACATTCCTCCCTGCACTGTGCTAATGCTCTTAGGCTGCAGCTGCAGGGTTTGAGCACAAACCCTCATTTCCCTGACCCTACCCAAAGCTGCTTAGGAGCCCTGTGAGCTCCACAGCTGCCACACGCTCAGAAACAGATTTAGCCAAGGGAGCATTTTATCTCTGGCCTGATCACAGGGGAAGATGGCTGAAAMAACACAGGGACAGTGATTCAGACTGGGGAACTTCTTCCTGGTGGACTCATCTCACCTGCCCATGGCCTGCCTGGCTGTTGGCCAGTGAACAATGCTGTCCAAGCTCCTTGGAGGGGTTTCCAGAAATCCTGACAAGGTTGTGCATCATGTGAGCAGGATTGTTGTTAATTGGCAGGCAAATCTCTCGCCACAGGTTTAACTTTGGCCATGTCAGCAAAATGTGTGAAGGACCTGGTGTTCAGTGGGTTCTTGTAATGCAAATTAGGCTTCTGCTTAATCAGAAGAGTTAATCCGAGTGCTTTCTCCCTCTTAACCACATTTTTTTCCTCTCTTTCCTGCTGCTCTCAGGAAGAAGACAGCTTCTTAGAAAAGGTAACATAAGCAATTGCTGTGTGCAGTCTGCTTTTCAGCAGTGTGTTTGTAAAGAATGAGAGTTTTTCCCTTGTTTTTTGAGGCAGAGGGAAGGGAAGGGGAGGGGAGCACAGAGGGGACATGACTGCCAGCAAAGCTTCTTAGCACAGCTGTGGGCTAAATGAGAGCACCGAGAACCACACAGTGACCCCAGAGCCAAGCCCAATTGAGATGTTAAAGGTCACCGAATTTGCTTTGGGGAAAAAAATATCACACTCCTGGTCCTGGCAGCTGGATATTCCCCAAAAAAATTGGCAGCCTTTGACACACGCCTGACCATGTGCAGAAGGTGGGGGTCACCACAGCACCCTCTCAGACCTGTGGGAAGAGGGCTGGAGTAGGAAACTCAGATCTTTTGGTCCTTCCATCTTGTGTCCCTGGAGGCTGAGGAGGGCCTCAGGCAGGAGGTGGATGTTTCTGTGCCTCCTCAAGCAGTGGAGCTGGGGTTGCTGGCTCTGATGACCGCAATGCCTGAGCGGGGCCCTTGGCACTCCTGCTCAGTGCTGGAGCCAAGCAAGGAAAACATGTCCTTGGGAGAGCAAGTGGGAGATGCTGCGGGTGTTCTGTTCTCCTGTGCTGGCTCTGACATTTGTAACTTGTTTGAGCTGGTTCTGTGCCGGCTTCCCGGGCTGAGTGAGTTGCTCCTCTCCTGACTGTCAGCGCAATGGCAGAATAAAACAGGAGAGGGAAGGAAGGTTTCCTCTTTAAGAGGGGTTCGAGCTCAAATCCTTAACCACCCGAAGCTCACAGTCTCCCTGGTGGCAGAGGAGAAGGGAGGAATTTGGTGCCCTCCCGGAGCATCTCCCCCGTTCGAAGGACGTGGCCGTGCCTCCCTTCCCCGCACACGGCAGGAGAGGGCGCTCGGGGTCCGCCCAACGCGCGCCCGTCTCCTCCTGCTCCTGCTGCTGCTGCTCCTCCTGCTCCTCCTGCTCCTCCTCCTCCTGCTCCTCCTCCTCCTGCTCCTCCTGCTGCTGCTCCTCCTCCTGCTGCTCCTCCTCCTGCTGCTCCTCCTCCTCCTCCTGCTCCTCCTGCTGCTGCTCCTCCTCCGCTCCGAGGCACCTCGAGCCTTCTCCTCCCCTTCCCTGAGTACCTGGGATTTCCTGCAGGGGAGTCTCCGTGGCTCTCCCAGTCATGCCAGGGGCTGCTTCAACACTTGGCTCCGGTGATGCCCTGGCACAGGGGATTTCTGTAGAAGAGCCTCAGTCCTGGGAGGGTCCACGGCCCTGGGAGAAGATCTGTAGCTCTGCCCCTTTCCCTCTCAGAGGAATTCTGTAGTGCTCTTGCCTGACACGCTGCTTCTCGACCTCCCCAGTGCCCGTGGCTGAGTGAGGTGGCCGTGGAGCTGTGATCCCCCCATCTGCCAGCCAGATCAGACCTGGCACTGTGCAGGGCAGAGCTGTGCTGTGCCGTGTGGCAAGTGGGGTACTGCCCGTGTCACTGTGACTCGTGCCAACCCGGGGTGTGTCTGGGCGCAGCAGGGAGGCTGCCCCCAGCTGCTGTCAGTGGCTGTGTGTGAGCAGGGATAGCAGTGGCAGTTGTCACCTCAGCTGGAGTGAGGTGCTTTGTGTGTGGCTTGTGGACTCCTCTGCTGGTGGCAGGGTTGTGTTCCTGCTTGTGCTGGTTCCTGGGTGCTTTGGGAGCGCTGGGCATGGCTTCCTCCTTGTGGGTCGCAGGCATGGGAGTGATCGTGAAGTGAGAGTAAAATCAAGCCAAGAAGTGGATTTGGGTAAAGCTCAGTGTGATGGAGACATCTGAGCCACAGAGCTCGTCAGCTGCTCCACGAGTGAGCAGGACCTGTGACAGTGCTGGTGTGTTCTCAGCGAGACCTCTCCTTGGGAAAATCAGGGAGGAAACATCACAAATCAAGAGAGTTCCAGAGGCCCAAGAGCAGCCGTGGCTGGAGCACTCTGGAGGCAGGGAAGAGTGGGATGAGTGGGGACAGGGGATGGGCTTCCCAGCGTGRGAGCTCCCGCAGCACAAGGACTTGCTGGGTCCCAGCCTCTGTTGGCTGTGGGATGGGAACTGGGATGGGACTGGGGCTCCTCCTGGGGGACTGAGGGGGCTGGGGCTGTTGGACACAGTGGGCAGTGTGTTGTTCCGGGCAGGTTGTTCTGTGGGGCAGCAGGAGGGGGAGCAGCCAGGAGCTGCGGGGTGAAGGCTGGTGCTGTGAAAGGGAGTCAGGGCTGGGGCACACTGGGATCCTTCTGCTTCCTCTCATTCGGCCTTCCCTTCCAGGGACTGAGRTCCTGAGACAGAAGGGATTGTTTTCCTGAGCCCTTGTGTGCTCTTTGTCCCCAGGAGAAATCCATCCTGCAGATGGGCTCCCTGGACAGTGAGGAGGCAAATGAAGCGCCATTGCAGGTGCCAAAAGAGATCTGGCTCTTGGTGGACCACCTGTTCAAGTATGCCTGCCACCAGGTGAGAGGGAGGGGAGAGGACCTCTGCCACACTGCAGATCTCCTGGTGACCTTGTTCCTCAGAAGCACCTGGGGATCAGCTTCGGTTTGATGTTTACAGGGCAAGGTTTTTCCCTGTGTTTGAGGCACTGGGTGTCCCAGGGTTTGCCCTGCAGTCACTGGCAGCATGTCTCAGCCTTTGTGGGAAAGGTGACTTTGCCCATCCCTGTGCTGTTTTTGACAGGAGGACCTGTTCCAGACTCCAGGCATGCAGGAAGAGTTAGAGCAGATCATTGACTGCCTGGACACCAGCATTCCTGAGACAATCCGTATCCTTCCATGATGGATCTTAGTTCTGCTGGGAGAGCTTGCTCTTGGGAGAGCTTGTCTGTCACCTTTACCTGGCAGGGTCCCTGGTAGGGATGGGCTGCCCTTCATCCCCCCACAACTTCTCTGAAAGCTGAATCTCTGCTGGCCAAAGCTGCCAGGGGGCTCGGGAAGCTTCTGCGGAGCTTTGCCAAGCACGGGAGCTAGGATACTGGGAAGCATGGTCTGGAGAAGAGGCTAATGGAGCAGGTTTTTGTGTAGCCAGAGGGTGGGAAATTCAGCGCAGGGTGGATGAAACAGCGTATTTTGTGGCTGGGAGACAGTGGGGGAGGWGGAGGAGAAGGAGTGGTTAGACAGGTGTTAACTTGCATGACCTTCAAGGAGGAAGCAGGGATGAACATCTGGGGAGGGAAGGGATCTCTGCTCAGCACGACCCTTGATTCCTAGCGGTCCAGCGGGCAGTAATCACTCTGTGGCTGAAGCTCTCCTCATCTTCCTGGAGGCCCTGCCGGAGCCTGTCATTTGCTACGAGCTATACCAGCGMTGCCTGGACGTGTCCCACAGCAGCCGGCTGTGCCAGCAGGTGCGGGGCTGCACCGACGCACGGGGCTGCTGCTGCCAGCTCAGGGCAGCCCACCTGGCTCCTGCTCCCTCCCCGGGGGCTGCCAGTGGCTTTCCAAAGAGGCCCCAAGTGAGCCGTCTGTCACCCCGGGTACATGGGGGACTGGATCGTGAGGGAGGGGCCGAGGCACCCCTGGTCCTGAGGGCTTGAGCACCTGTGCAGCARCAATTCCTGTCCTTCCATGGAGGACTGTGAGTGACTCTTAACAGCTGGTGGGGCAGCAGGTCAGGCCAAGTGTGTGCTTGAGCAGAGGTGGAAGTTTTGTTCTAGTGAGAGCTGGGATCCAACTGTGAACAAGTACGAAGCAGCCGCAGGGCAGTGGGGAGKTTTTCCTGGTGACACTGCTTTCCTTGAAGCAGTGTCACCAGGAGCCACAGCCCACAAGTGCCATCAACTCTGGGCTGCAACTATGGGTAGTTGCTTTGGAGCCACATGTGGCCAGGCTGCGTGGTGGGAGCTGGGAGAGCTTCCTGACACCATTTCCTTGCAGGTGATCCTTCAGCTGCCGAGCTGCCACCGCAACGTGTTTCGGTACCTAATGTCCTTCCTCCGTGAGCTGCTCAGGTACTCGGAGGACAGCAATGTCACTGCCACCATGATTGGTGAGTGTTGTTCCTCTGCAGCCCTCGCTCCATCCTGGCCTCTTCCCGCACCTCTCAAGGTTTTGGTTCTTCAGCAGAGGCTGATTTTGTCTGCCTCCACAGCCGCCCTATTCTCCAGTCTCCTCCTGCGCCCTCCACCCAACCTGATGGCCAGGCAGACCCAGCAGGACCGCCAGCGTGCCACCAACTTCATCYACAACTTCCTGCTCACTGGGGACGAGGAATGACTCCTGCTATGTGCCAAAGGCGGGGCCCTCAGCTCCGAGGGGTAAAGGCTCAAAGCTCTGCAAGTGCCGTGTTTGCAGTCAAAAGGGACATGCTCCCCCTCCTCACCGTGCCATACCCCATGCTGCAGAGGACCTGCACGCTCATTGCACTGCCATCCGCCACTGCAGGCTCTCTGCAGAAACCAGGTGGATCTGTCGATACCCAAGCACTGTGCCAGCACCTATTGTCCCATGGCACTGTCGCCAGTTCTTCAAGTCACGCTTCTCCCCATGTCACCCCTATCTCCTACGAGCTGCTGTGAAGGGTAGGGATGGCCTCTCGGAGGCCGTGGCACACTGCGTCCCTCCAGTGCCAGGTACGARTGCTGGTGCCTACACCACCCCAGATTGGTGTGGGACATGTGCCACCCTTTGCCACACAGCCTTGCCAGCCCTGATGCCATTGCTATGCTATGGACCGTGCTCACACAGGAAGGTTGTTTGGATGTTTGGCCTCCCCCCTTCAGCAGGGCCTTCCCCCCTCCCCTCCCTCCCAAGGCACAGAGCCCTGGCACACGGGTYTGTCCCTGCACCCCKCATTCTGCCCTCACTCTCCTCTCCYTTCCCTGCCCCACCTTCCCTCGGGGACACAGGATGGTGGGTAGTTCATAGGGACCAGGGTCAGGCAGGGCCACGAACTGCCCTCTGTTCCTCCTGGGCTGTCCTGTGCATCTTGAGCAGGATGGGACCCCTGTCCCTCCAGCCCAGTCTACAGCATTGGGTTAGGACAGGCTGGATGACCAGCTGCATTGGATGGGGTCCCTTCTCTCCTCCCTGGCATGCTAGCAGAGGGTGCAGGTTTGGGGGACTGAAAGGAGGCAGAAATGCTACTTGGGGGCCAGAGGAGCAGTTGGAGGGCCGTGCYGGGTGGCTGCAGTGCAAGGGTCAAACATAGCTGGGGAGGGGACAGCCCTGGGGCTGGTGACAGAGGGTCCCAGAGTGGCCTGCCCCCCTGAAACACTAAGAGGCCTGTGGGGCCATGTGGCCTCAGCTGAGGGAGGCCAGAGCCAGTGCTTGGGCATAGCCCAGTGTGTCGTGTGACCCTGCGGTCCCCGTGCACTGCCTGAGCTACCGCGGGCTCCCCTCCCTTCTGCCTTTTGCTTAAAATTTTTTAATTATATAATTTATTGGGAAAGTGTTCCAAATAAACCTCCATGGTGCAAGGCCTGGGGGCTGCGCCGGGTACACCTGCCCTCCCTCACGCAGCTCTGCGCCACGACGGAACCCTGCCGGAGCTCCAGGCTTGCTCCGGGGGCAGCTGAGGGCTGGGTTCTCCCACAGCCACTCCAGCAGCACGCTGGGCACAGCTGGRGACAGTGGCAGAGGGTTCTGTGCCACCGGTTCGTGCTGGTTGAGCTGCTGGATGCGCTGCTGATGTGCTGACACCATGCAGCATGGTGCCAGTGGCCCATCCAGCAGTGGTGGCACGTGGGCATGGAGATGGCACTGCATCCGTCCAGGGTGGTGAACACTGCCAGCAGCAGGGTGCTGGTGCCTGTGCATGGCACATGGCGTTGGCAGCCCTGAGCAGTGATGCCTGCAGTCCCCAAGGCCCTGCTGGGCCAGCGAGGGGAGCAGTGGTGGAGAAAGCCYGCACGTCCTGCAGCAGGAAACGGCAGCCAGTGTCATCTCCATCTGCTTCCTGCTGGCTCCTTGGGAGCTGGGCTGTGCCTGGGCAGCTGCTCCTGCGCTGTCACCGAGGGGACCAGCACAAGGTGCCGGTATTGTTCCCGCAGCCACCGCATTCCTGCCACTGCCGGCGGAAATGCCGAAGTGAGAGCAAAGGCCCGATGCTCCCCGGGGATGGGTTAAAGCCTTGGCCTGCCCATCTTTCTCAGAAGGGCACAGGGATTCTTACATGGAGGCTGTTGGGGTGCAGCTCCCGAGGTCTCACACGTGCACCAGCCCACCGTGAACACAGGCACTGAGGGATGCTGGTGGCATCCAGGTGGTGGGRCTGGAGGAGCTGGTGGTGCCCCACAGCCATGCTGGACACCCATTACCTATCCTCGGTGGGCAGTGAGCTCTCCCTGTTCTCCCGGGGGGGAGCCAGGGGTCCCCCAGGAGCACAGGGCTCCTGTGGCTGCTCAGCCGCTCTACCAGCGCCCTTGACATCCCTCTTGCCCTGCTCAGGGAGCTGGGACCCGGCAGGCCCCAACCTTGCCCTGCCAAGACAGAGCCTGCCTGCACACCCAGGGACAGCACTGCCCCATGCCTGTTTCCTGTGTCCCTGTCCCCAGCACTGCCCTGTGCCCACTGCCTGTGACCCTGTCCCCTGCACTGCCCCGTGCTATCTGCCTGTGACCCTGTCCCCTGTGCTGCCCCGTGCCTGCTGCTCGTGTCCCTGTCCCCAGTGCTGCCCCGTGCCCACTGCTCGTGTCCTTGTCCCCAGTGCTGCCCGTGCCTGCTGCCTGCTATGCCCTAGCTCCCTGTTGTAGTACAGGGGCTCTGGCACTGCCATGGCCCACGGGGCACGGGGAGCACGGCCGAGCTCAGCAGTTCCCACCTGCCTACGGGCAGCAGGCCAAGCCAGGAAGAGCCAGAGATTCCTTAGGTCTCCCGGCCTAGAAGCCTTTTCCTCCTTCCAGGCTGGCCACAGCCCAGCCGGGAGGTCCTCCCTGGCCTCCGCCTTCCAGGCTGGTGCAGCAGGGCAGGGGTCAGGGCTCAGCTGTGCAGCCCCTGGCTGCAGCCCAAGCACTTGGGGCTGAGCRATGCTTGGGGGATGTGGGACATTGCTGCCTCACTGGCATGGCCACTGCAGTCACTCTGGGGGTCTACTGGGCCCACTTGCTGCCTGCACCCTGGCAGGGATCCCACCAAAGCTCTTGGGCAAGGTCCTGGCTGCTGCATCTGGGGAGGCAAAGCGTCAGCACTGAGTGCAGGGGGAGAGCCCTCCCAGTTCAAACCGATAGCAGCAGCACCGTAGGCTGGCCATGGAGGAGCAATAACCCCCAGCATCCCAGAGCTGCAGCTTGGGGCAGCTGGAGGGGCTGGGGTCAGGGCACCATGTCTGGCCCCACTCCAGCTCTGAGAGGCTGCTGGGGCTGGAAAACTGGGCATGAGGGCCAAGGCAGGACTGGGCAGTGAGTGGGCAACCTTTGCCCACCCACCCAGACCATCATGGGTGCACCAGCAGTGGCTTCTGGGCACTTGTGGGGTAGCTGGTGGCAGAGCAGGGTGGYAGTGGCTCGTGGGCTGGCCGTGAAGCAGGGTGGGGGTGGCAGGGGCTCTCAGGGCAACTGGCAGTGGCGATGTGGAGCAGCAGTGACGTGCAGGAGCGTACTGGCACGTGGCTGGGCAGCGCATCCCTCCTGCTCCTGGYGGATGAGGTAATGGAGGCCAGCTGGGCCCCAGCGATTCCCCAGTCCCGGCTCGCAGCCCGCAGCTGCAGCCCTTCCGCTCCTCCATGGCCCCTTAACTCCCTCCCCGCCGGTGCTGCCTACCCTCAGCCCTGCCCCCCGGGACGTCCCCCTGGGCAGCCCACTGTGAGCAGTGAGGGGTTTGGAGGCCCTGCATAGCCACTGCATCTCTCAGGGGTCCCAGACATGCCTGGGGGTGTCTTCTCCCTGGGGCCCCCCTCCCTTTGCAGGATACAGCCTCTCCTTCCCACCCGCAGGATCCTACAGGGACTCTCCATCCCATGAGCCTTGACCCCCTGTGTACCCACACGGGTCCTACTCGCACCCAGCCCCATGGGGTGGGGGCACCAGGACTGGGGATGCAAGGATGGGGACATGGAGAAGAGGAATGCCAAGGACACCAGAGGCAGGGACACCAGAGGTGGCAGTGGCTGGAATGCTAGGGACAGGGATACCCATGATGAGGATGGCAGGTACCCAACAGTCACAGCTGCCCCTGTGTGCAGGGCTGTGGGGTGACTGCCCAGGACTGGTGGGGTCAGGCTGGGGCAAAGGGACRGTCCAGCAGCCACTGGGACTGTCCAACAACAGCAGAGTCACACAGAACCAGTGAGAGCTGTGTCCAGGGCTGGGCCACTGCCCTGCAGCACGGGGGTGGCTCCCAGTCCTGCACCAGGCAGGCACTGGCTAGTGGCAGAGGTGGCTCCTGCAGCCTCCCCTGGATCCCTGCACATCCTACAGGCCTCATCCTCCTCCCACCAGGGCCCGCCCAGGCCCAAACCCTCCTCCCAAAAATAAACCTCAGAAGGCTAAAAGTAGGACTCTCAGAGGAGCACTCGCATTCGGGGCCTTTGTTCCAAGGGTCCCGTAGCCCCTCTCCCGTCACTGCCCAGCTGGGCCCAGCATCCCTGTGCCCTTCCAGCATCCCCTCTATCCCCCAGCTTCTCTGACCTGTGTTCTCCCATTCTCCTTGCCAGTTCCACAGGCTCAGCAAATGGCTTCACTCCTTGCTTAGCACCTGCTCTGCCACCAGTGGGCTGGGGAAGGGGCTGCCATGGCCCCAGCCATGACTCACAGTGCCCATGGACAGCTCCAGGAGGGAGCAGAGGGACCTGGGATCCCTCCCCACCAGCAGGAGAGCAACCTCTATCTGCCCTTCCAGAAATCAGCATTTACTGAGTTAATAATCATAACTCTTTATTATAAAGATGTATTTACAAGGAWTAAATCTTTACAGGCACAGGAGATGATCAACAGGGTCCAGCTCAGAGCCAGAGCCCCTCCTTTGAGATATGGCAGAGCCTGACAGAGCCCCCCATACCACCCTGCTGCTGCTGTCCCACAGGATGAAGCAGAGGGGCCCAGGGTCCCCCAGTGTGTCCTACGTGGGCAATGCCCGCCATGGGGGTGCCCAGGAGGTGGGTCTGCCAGCAGGAAAGGGACATCACACTCACTGTGAGGACAGCTCACCCAGGGTGTGGGATGAGCACCATGGGAATAAATAGACTCGGGACAAGCTGTGTGCTCCCCCCTGGTGCAGGGGTGATGGACAGGGCTGGGACAGGACCCCAAGGGAGCTCACAGACCCCTGAGGAGACGCTGCTCCACCTGACAAAAGTGCTTTGCGCAAAGCAAAAGCTTTGTGGTCCCGGTGAGCCGATGGCCAGGGCAGCCCTTCTTCCACCGGGACAGGGCATCGTGGCAGCCCCGGCCCCTCTGCAGGCATCTCCTTCCAGCTGTGAGGAGGGGYAGGAGGCACCCAGCATGCCAGACACGGCACCGGGGCCACCAGGAACGACCGCCGGGAGAAGGTGGGGCCAGCCGAGGGCTCGCGTGGGGACCCCATGCTCAGGGCTGGAGGATGAGTGGAGCAGGCGAGGACACGGCGCGGGCGATGGAAGCCGTGTCCACGGAAGGCGGCTGGTAGCCCTGCGACGAGAGCAAGCCCGAGCACATGTGAGTTCCCTCCCGGCACCGTCACACGTTTKCCCGCGCTCCCCGTGCCCCGCTGCATCTCACCTGGCTCAGAAGGGCATAGGGCCCTTGTGGGACAGCCGGGGCCGGGGCCGCCGGTACTTGCGCCAGCCCCGCGGCCGCTGCGCGATCCCACGCCGAGCGCCCCGCGGCCGCACCAGCCTTCGGGCGAGGCCGCCCTGTGCATCCTTCCCGTCCGGCGCCTGCCCCAGTGGCCCTGAGGACATCAGAAACAGCGTTAGCCAGGTGTCCCCCGCGCGGGACAGGGACAATAATGCCATGGGGCTGCCTGGCCCTGGRCCGGCCGGTTTACTGGATTGTCCCCAACAAGAGCCATCGCTGCCAAGTGCTTCCTGGGCCGGGACGGCCCGGCCACCTGTGCCAAGCATGGCCACTTCGTGCGGCCACGGCCACCGGCATCACCGTGTGGCATGGGGCTGCCCAGCCTCCGCCTTCGSCCCCAGCCCCCCCACAGCCCCCCTTCTCTGTGCCACCGAGACCCTCGGCCCTTCACACTGTCCCCGCATCCCAGGAGTGCCAGGCGGTGCTCCCAGCAGCGGTGCCATTTTCCCGGGGCCCTGGAATGTCTGGATGGGATGCTCTGGCTCCTGTGCAGTGGTCCTGCTCCCCTGAGCGCCGGGCGGGGATACTCCAGTCCCAGCTCTGATCCTGCTCCCCCGGGCGTCTSTTTGGTCCCAGCTCCGCCAGTCCCMCACCCTCGCGGGGCCGGYTGGCAGCCGGGGCCGGGGCCGAGTCCCGCGTGGTTCCCGCTGCAGGACCCGGCGATGCGCGGGGCTGTCACCGCGGACGTTCCCGCTCCCGCTCTGCACGGGGACCAGAGAGTTTTCGGCTCCATAGAAGGCGCTTTGTCCTTCCCCAGCCTAACGGCAGCGGATCCCGCTGGTACGGGCGGCGGTGTCCGTCCCGCTGCGGCCCCTAACCCGCGGCCACCCCGGCGCGGTCCCCGCGGTCCCCTCTTTCCTCACTCCCTCCCTTCATCCCCCGCTGCCGGCCCGGGGGTCCCCGCTCTCACCGGGGGCGGCCAGAACGAGCCCAAGCAGCAGCAGCAGCAGCAGCAGCGGGGCCAGGAGCCGGCGCGGCGCGGCCATGGCGGGGGGCGGCAGGGGGCGGCGGGGGCGACCGCCGGGGGAGCCGCATTTGTAGGCGGTGAGAGCCCGGCCCGGCCCCGCCGCCGCCCGTCATCTGGCCCCCGAGATGGGGGGGAGGTGTCCGCCCCCGCCCCGCCCCGTCCCGCCCCGCCGTCGGAACACCCCCACGGGTTTCCCCCGTTCCGAGTTTGCTGCCTGATCCCCTCCCGGCACATCCTCCGGGGGATTCCCCACCACAGCCTCCTCATCGCATCCCCAGTGCTCTGAGACCACCCCAGCTTGTCCGGAGACCTCCCCAACTAGCCCGAATCTGGGACCCACTCCCAGCCTGGCCGCGTCTTCTGTGCCCAGCTTGGCCCGGGATCCCCCAGCCAAGCTGCCTCTGGGACCCCAGAACCCAGAATGGCCCGGGACCCCCCATTCAGACTGACTTTGGAACCCACGCATTCAGCCTGGTCCAGGACCCCCACCCAGAATGTCCCCCAGACCCCAACACTGCTGCCAGCCTGGCCCAAGGACCCCTGCACAGCCTGGATCCAGGATGTCTCCTTCCATCCTGGTCCTGGGACCCCCTCCCAGCCTGACCCTCAGATCCTGGGACTCTCCACTTCCCCTGGCACCCAACGGGGCAGGGGGCTCTCCTGCCCCACSCACAGTCCCCTCCAGCCTTCTGTTCTGCCCCACAAGCCAGGCAGGGTGTGCAGAGGGGTCAGTGTGCGGTGAACTGCCCACAGTCCCCATTCCAGAGGAGAGGAGGGAGAGAAATTGGGAATCACTTCGAGCCCAGAAGGAAAGTAGAGGTGGGGGAAGGGGTTAAGGTTTAGGTTTTTTTTTTTTTCTCATTACCCTGCTCCGATTTGATTGGTGATAAATTCATAAAAGGGGAGATTTTGATCAGATATGAGGAAGAAATTCTTGGCTGTGATGGGATGAGACCCTGGCACTGGCTACCCAGAGAAGCTGTGGCTGCCCCTGGATCCCTGGAAGTGTCCAAGGCCAGGTTGGATGGGGCTTGGAGCAACCTGGGACAGTGGAAGGTGTCCCTGACCATGGCAGGAGATTGGAACATGATGGGCTTTAAGGTACTTTTCAAACCAAGCCGYTCCATTATTCCATGATTTGATGGAATTCAATTAATTTCCTCAAAGTGAGTCTACTTTGCCCATGCCAATACCTGGTAAGTGACATCCCAGTCCTTATCTTRATCTGGTACCATGTCACAGCCCCACAGGTCTCTGTGGTACACAAGAGGAGCACATCCCCTGAACCTGTTCCAGTCCTGTTGGCTGCAGCCCCTGACCCCAGCCAGGTTCTCCTGCAGCCTCTGCTTTTGGCGCAATGCAGGCTCAGCACTCCCCAATGGTGCTGTGAACTCCCCAACGTGGGGGGGGGAGGGGGACCCTACCACAGGGGAAGCCAGGAGCTGGACTCTCATCCCTGTAGCCCAGCTGCCGAGCTCTGTGGGGCGGTGGGGACCCCCAGCCCATCCCCTGGGCAGTCATCATCGGATACACCCTGCCCGCCGGGGCATCCTCGGGCATCCTGGCAGCATCCCGCTGCCACCGCTGGCTTTCGCATTCCTGCGCCCGCACACCCTCCCCGCGTCCTGTTTGCCGGGCGCGTCACCCCGGCCTGAGTCACCCTGCGGCCTCTGCAGGTGACGGAAGGCCAACAATAGCCCACAAAAGGAGGATGTCCCCCCAAAGCCTTCCTCCGGCTCGTCTTCGAGGAAACCTCCCGCGGGAGGGACGGGCCCCACCGGACGCACGGCGGCCAAGGAGCTTCGTCCTGTTGACGCTGGCTCGGAGCGACATGCGGCCCTGGGGGAGCCCAGGGACGGCCCGTGCCACCCCCCATGCGGGGCGAGGAGGAGAAGGAGGATGCCATTGAGGATGATGGAATCGGGGGTGGCACTGGGCATGATGCCAGAGTGGAGTTCAAAGGGTGGGATAAAAGGGGAGGACCGTCCTGGCCGTGTGGAACCCCCTGGGAATGGGGTGCGGCCGTGGGGTGAGGGGCGCTGCCCCCGGTCTCGGCAGGAACCAGGCAGGGAGGACGAAGCATCATTAACACATGTCGCTAATGAAMAGGATGGCAGCAGAGTGCTGCCTGACTGTCCCCACGGCACCGCATCGCATCCTTGGGAAGCTGCCGCAACAATCCCAGCAGCTTTGGTGTCCCCCTTGCACCTGTGCCTGTCCTGCCCCTTCCTGGGGTCCTCTCAGAAGGGGGGACCAGCGGGTGAYGCCAGACGCGGGCAGCCTGAGGGCATTCGTGACATGGACACTCCAGTGCTCAACCGGAGGGACCGAGTGGCGAGGGGAGCAGCCGGCTCTGCTGCTGCCGGAGCTGGGGGCTGGTTAGGGACAGGACACAGGACAGTGGGACACGGCACAGGGGCGGCGGCTCCACGGCGCAGTCCTGGTGCCACCTCGTGGTGAGCAGGGTCCCAGTGCCACAGCTGGACAGTCGGAGCGAGGTCATGGCGGTGGAGCGGTGACACTGCTGGACAGGGGAGGCATGGACACACTRGACAGTGCGGGGACACAGCTGGACAGTCCCTGGTGGGGACACAGCTGGACAGTCGGCACAGTGGCACAGTCAGACAGTTCAGTGACACAGCTGGACAGTCCCTGGTGGGGACACAGCTGGACAGTCGGCACAGTGGCACAGTCAGACAGTTCAGTGACACAGCTGGACAGTCAGTGCAGTGGCACAGTCAGACAGTTCAGTGACACAGCTGGACAGTCCCTGGTGGGGACACAGCTGGACAGTCGGCACAGTGGCACAGTCAGATAGTTCAGTGACACAGCTGGACAGTCAGTGCAGTGACACAGCCGACCAGTCACTGCAGGGTTAGGATGGGTGGACAGCTGTCTGTGCAAGGGGCCATGAAGTGCCGCTGGGAGGAGGCAGAAGCTCAGGGGGTTTGTGGTCACCACCAGACCCAGCTTTGCCAGGCCTTGAGGCYGAGCCTGTGAGAGCTGTAGTGCAGGGACCCCAGGCCCAGGAAGATGGGGTCGCACTCCAAAGATCTTCATGGGCTGTGATGAGCAGTGATCCTGCAGGGAGTGCTCTGGGAAGCCTAGGCAGGGAGGTGAGTCTGTGGGGACAAATTTCTTGGCAGGGTCCGTTGCAGCAAATCAAGGTGGGGTGGTTTTAAATTAAAGAGGATTGGTGTGGGTTAGACAGAGGGAGGACATACTTCCCTGTGAGGGTGGGGAGGCCCTGGCACAGGCGCCCAGAGGAGGTGTCACTGACCCATCCCTGGAAGTTTCCAAAGCCAGGCTAGAAGGGGCTTGGTGCAAACTGGTCTAGGGGAAGGTGTCCCTGCCCATGGCAGGGCGGCAGAACTAGGGGATCTCTAATGTCCTTTCCAACCCAAACCAGTCTRTGACTCCATGACTTGTCTTGGGTGGGGACACACATTCACCCSTGAAGATCTGTGTCCATGCCAAGGAGGGACACCTGCAATGCCTGTGGCAGCAGATCTKCCCCTCTTGCAGTCTTTCTCTCTGCAACCAGAGTTATTAAAGCCGCTGGAGGAAGTACCTGTGCAATCACAGTGACAGGCCTCAGGGTCAAGGCTCCTTAGGACGAAGATAACATGGTTTTGGCAAGGCAGATGCACGGAGGCACGGARCTGATGGGCCTGGCGGGACAAAGGGCACATCCCAGCAGGATCCTCCCATGGAGCACAGATCCCTGGCCAGCTTCAGCAGTGGCTGCTTGGCCTGGGCAGTGGACAGGGGCTGGTGCCACCTGCATGGCTCAGCCATCACCCTCCTCTTCCTCCACACGTGTCTCTGCCTACATAGGCCACATCCTATGCCAGTGGCTCCAGCCTGACCCACCAAGCACTCCAGATTCATGGTCCCTGTTACCCTTGTATCTGCAGGACCACATGCTCCCATCAGCACTGAGGTCACCTCTCAAGGCCTTGTGTGAATTCCTGCCCCCCAGAAACCCTCCCCCTGGACCAAGCTGGGCTCAGACATCCTGCTCTGTGTCTCACAAGCTTCGTGCCCTTTCCATGTCATTGCACAAGTGAAAAACTGGGATGTGGCACCACGGCCCCATCCCTCTGTGCTCCTTCCAGACTCTGTCTCTGTCRTGTGGGTCTGTGCTGCTCCATGGCCAGAGCTGGACAGAGCAGGAGGAGCAGCAGTGTGTCTGTCCCTGCTCCTGCAGTCCATGGCAGATGTTGGCCACCCATGGCAGATGCTRGGTGCTCATACTGGATGTTGTTTGAACCCCAGCCAGGGAGAGGTCTCCCTCAGACCAGGGAAAGCCAGAGCAGTCAAGSCTTTCCCCTCCCCAGAGCACTCAGGGGTTTTCCTGCACCACCACCTCCATACCCTACAACCATCTGGAGGTCACAACAACTGGTACTGCGCGATCCCTGCTCCTCTCCCCTTCTGGGACCTCAGGCCTTCCCTGGGGACACTGTCTCCTCCCCACCCACTGCTGGATGCTCCATGTCCCTTGCCAAAGGGGTGCAGAGATTTGGGTTGAGAGTGGGCTGGGYGCTGATGTGGTGCTCAGTGCTATCCACATTTCCCCTGGAGTAAGAATAGTGCTGGCGCAGGATCAGTGGCCCCGTTACTGCAGCTGCAGTGGAAAAACAGCCACACCAAAAAATGAGGGGCCCAGCCATGGCTGGGGGATACAGCACTGTGTGTTCCTGTCACCCAGTCAGCTGCAGGAGCCACAGACAGGGGTGGGTGTCCCCGGTGCTCTGGGTGTCCCCACTGGCCCCCAGCCCTGCTCAGCAGGAGGAGGGACATTGTGCCCTGCTGACAGCTGTAATGGGTGGTACCGGTGATGAGGCTCCACAGCCTCAGTCTGTCAGCCCCAGCCTCAGGGGGCTAGGGTGGGGACTGCACTGTGCCAGGGGGATGCTGTGCTTGGCTCCATGTCCTGTGGAGAAGGAGGGATGGCTCAGGGGGCTGACTGGCTTGGGGGGGCATCTGGCCCTCACCCCAGAGACCCCATGTCAGCTCTCCATGGCRCTGGAACACAGGGGTTCCCCAGGGTGCAAAGCCTTTGCCTGACTTAACCTGGGCCATCGGGCTGTGCCAGACTCAGTTGGCACCCTYCCACCTCTGCTCCTGCAGGATCTTTGGACTTTGTACTGATTTTGCTGTTTGCTTTTATTTAGCAGCAGAATTCACTTTCCAAAGGACAACAAACCCTGCTCCCCACTCCCTGTATCTGCTGGGGCCTTGTCCCTCCCATCCCGCATCCCTCTGCCCCTGGGGCAAAGGCACAGGAGGAGGGACCTGTCACACACAGTGTCCCCTTGGCGCCCCATCTCGCTGGGCACAGCCAGAGCAGCCATGTGTCCCCCACTCTGGATGGCAGCCTGGGTACTCCTGCTCCACGGTATGGCAGAGGGCGGGCTGGGTGTTGAAGGAGGACAGCATGTCTGGGACCACCAGGAGGCAGATACAGAAAGCGTGGGGTACGCCAGCCACAGCTCCGGGTGAAGTGGGGGTGGGTCCTTGCCAGGATAGGAGCCAGGCTGTTGCTCGGGGTTCGYCCTGCCCAGCTGGCCCGGGGATGCGCCCAGAGCAGGTGACAGGTAAGGAGCAGCCCTCAGGGTGCAGACACCAGCTACTCAAGGTCCTTCAGACTGAGGATGATCCCATCCTGCATTGTCCCACGGACCCAAGCTGTGTGCCCTTGGCCCAAGGTGAGGAGCCAGGTGCCAGCTGGTGATGGAGAGCTCAGGGAGTGGTGGTGGCACCCTGTGCCAAGCAGCCCTGGGGGGAGGCCAGGTCCAGCCGGACACGGCCCGGCTGTTGGCCAGCTCTTCTTGCAGCCCCAGACAGGCTGGGATGCTCCAGCCAGGCTCCTGCCAGCCCCTCCCTGCTTCCAGGCATGGCGGGCACCAGCTGCCCCCCGTGACGATCCTACCATGGGCACTGGGAGATTTACTTCCTCTTGAACCCAGGGATGACGCTGCCTTTCACAGAGTTTCTGGGGCTAAAAACTGGGTTTTGCAAAAAGCCCCGAAGCTGGGCTGGCTGGTGTTTGGGGTTGGGGACGACGGTCACAGCTTCCTGGCAAGGTTCCGGGCTGGAGCAGGGGGCCAGCAGGAGCCCCGGGCTGCAGCCTGAGACTCCCGGGTGTCGCCGCGCCCACAGGCTGTGCTGCAGGGCAGGCTCCTTCCCCCAGGAATGACATCCGGGATTGCACCGCGGACCCACCGGTGAGCCCCTCCTTGCTCCCCTTCCCTGTTCCTGAGACCCCCTGCATGGGATCCCTCCCAGTCCCAGCACGTATCTCTGTGCCACCAGTACCTGCCACCGACGGCCACCAACACGACGGAGCGTCTGGCGGCGCTGCGGGGCGCCATGCGGACCCACGGCGCCCACGCCTACATTGTGCCCTCCACAGATGCCCACATGGTAAGGCAGCAGCTTTCCCCCGCTGCGCTCCCCGCCGGCGCCCACGGCCGCCTCTCACGGCTCCATCCCCACTCCAGAGCGAGTACATCTCCGAGCGGGACGCCCGGCTGGGCTGGCTCACTGGTTTCACCGGCTCTTCAGGTGAGGGCACCCCCCAAACACGCMTGTTGCTGCTCGGAGGGCTGTCACCTCCCTGCTGGCCCTCGTTCCTGGGGATCCACGCGCATGGCGTAGATCCCTGAGAGCCTCTGGAGGTCACTGCCAGCTGCAGGGAGAGAGAAATAGGTGACCCCTGAGCCCCCACTCCTGTTGCAGGCACCGTTGTGGTGACGCAGGACAAGGCTGCCCTGTGGACAGACAGCCGCTACTGGACCCAGGCGGAGCGGGAACTGGACTGCAACTGGGAGCTGCAGAGGACAAGTCAGTGTGGGCAGGATGGGGGCTGCCGGGTGTCCCCGCTCCCAGGACCCTCCGAGCCCCTGCTACAGCCTCCTGTGGGCTCAGCGCGGGGCTGGGATGCAGTGCAAACTCGCAGCGCCACTCCGCTCTCTCGTGCAGCCTCCATCGAGTCCATCGGGATGTGGATCCTGAAGGCGGTTCCTGTAGGGGGGAACGTCAGCTTGGACCCCTTCCTCTTCTCCATCGGTAGGGCTGGCTGGCACCGGCGGTCACCCTGCCCACGGGAGGGCAGCCTCTGGGGGTGGATTTASCCTGACCTGCGGACTGCTCGCCCCCAGGCACCTGGAACAGCTACAGCCGGGCTCTGCACGGCTCCGGCCGGACCCTGCTCCCCCTCGAGACCAACCTTGTGGATCAGGCGTGGGGTGACCACAGACCCCTTCCCTCCTCCAGTGAGATCTACAGCCTCCCAGCAGAGTTCACAGGTCTGACCGCAGCCTCCCTCAGTTTCCGGGTGACCTGGGCCCACGGTGGTCCCTGCACTGAGCCARTCACTGTCCGGACTCGCAGGGAGCAGCTGGCAGGAGAAGGTGGCTGGGATCCGGCAGCGGATGGAGCAACACGTGAGGCATCCCACRGCCGTGCTGCTGTCGGGGCTGGAGGAGACGGCCTGTGAGTACCCACGTGCCGCGGCGGTGCCAGGACAGGCGCCGTGGGCTCAAGCCCTCGGGGAGGGAGGGCAGTGGCAATGACAGTGGCAGCGGCACGCACGGAGGTCTCGTTCCTGGCAGGGCTCTTCAACCTCCGCGGAGATGACATCCCCTACAACCCCGTCTTCTATTCCTACGCYCTCCTGACCAACACTACCATAAGGTGCGCAGCGCGTCCCTGTGGGCACGGGGCACGTGGCGGGCTCACCACCCACCCCTTCCACCCTTCCTTGCCTGAGCCAGCCCCCATGGAACCGCCCTCTCAGCCCCATTGCCCCCGTCCCCAGAGTCACCACATCCTGCCATGCCCAGCCCCACTGACTGTCCSTCTGAGCTGCACATCTTCCCCAATCTATCTCCCCGCTTCCAACCCCCACCAGGGCACAGCACAGTCCCTTCCCTCACAGCCTGAGCTCCTCCCATTCCCAGCTCAGCATCCTCTCTGAGCGCCCCAGGTCCCTCCTCAGCAGGCGTGGCCGGGCTTGGGGGGACCAAAGGCAGCCAAGTGACCCCCACGTCTTGTGCCYGCCCTATGCCGCTTCCTCCCCAGCCTGTTCGTGGAGGGCTCCCGGCTCTCGGCGGCGGCGCGGGAGTCGCTGCGCTCGGGCTGCCCGGGGCCGCTGTGCGTGGARCTGCAGGGCTACGAGCAGGTGAGCGCCCATCTGCGCCGCTACGCCCAGGGCAACGTCACCGTGTGGCTGGGCACCGAGTACACCACCTACGGCCTCTACAGAGTCATCCCCCAGGTGGGCACCAAGCCTGGCACGGGGCACGTGTGTCCTGTAGGCTCGGGGATGGCCCCGTGTCACCGCATTGTGGCCGGCCCTGGAGCCTGAGGGGACGGACMGCTGTGCCACCTCCCGCCTTCCCTCACAGGAGAAGCTGCTGGAGGAGAACTACTCGCCTGTCATGATGGCCAAGGCTGTGAAAAACGCCCACGAGCAGGAGCTGCTGCGAGCCGCCCACGTAAGGGCTGCTTCCTGCCCACAGTCCCCCTGCAGAATGGCAGAGGGACCAGAGGAAGTGGGGTGCTGATGCATCCTCCCGGTGCCACTGCACACCCCCAGGTCCGGGATGCGGTGGCCGTCATCCAGTACCTGCTGTGGCTGGAGAAGACAGTCCCACAGGGACAGGTGGACGAGTTTTCAGGGGCTCAGCACATCGACGCACTTCGCTGGTCAGTGCTGCCTCCCAGGCCTGCCCTGCTCAGCCAAGGGCAGCCCAGGACCCCCAGCACCTCCTTCCTCTTCCTGCTCCTGCCTTCCAGGGCCCAGGAGCACAGCCGTGGGCCCAGCTTCCAGTCCATCTCGGCCAGTGGGCTCAATGCGGCGCTGGCCCACTACAGGTATGGCTGAGGCAGCGGTGGGTGGTGGGCAGAGGGCAGTGGGCAATGGGCAGCTGGGYGAGGGCTCTGACCCCCCCCTCCCCTTGCAGCCCCTCCAACGGGAGCAGCCGGACACTGTCTGCAAGAGAGATGTACCTCTTTGATACCGGAGGGCAATATCTGTGCGTAGCTTTGAACAGAGACCCCTGCCACAACCCCACATCCAGGGWCCCCCAAAGCCAGCACTGGGGCTGCTTCACCCCCCTTCATGTCCCTCCTTTGCAGGGACGGGACAACAGACATCACTCGGACAGTGCACTGGGGAGAGCCCACCCCATTCCAGAAGGTACCACCCCCTCCCACATCAGCCAACATCCCCCTGCATTGCTCAGCACCCCCTTCACTGCCCAGCACCCCCTGTGCTGCCCAGTAGCCCCTGCACTGCCTCGGACACCCCTGTGCTGCCCAGCACCCCCCGCACTGCCCAGGACACCCCTGCACTGCCCAGGACATCCCACACTGCCCAGGACACCCCTGCACTGCCCAGGACATCCCACACTGCCCAGGACATCCCACACTGCCCAGGACACCCCACACTGCCCAGGACATCCCACACTGCCCAGCACCCCCCGCACTGCCCAGGACACCCCTGCACTGCCTCGGACACCCCTGCGCTTCCCAGGACACCCCACACTGCCCAGCACTCCCTGTAGCTCTCAGCAGCATGGTCCTGGCCAGGGCTGGATGTATGGGGTGGGTGTCCAGGCACCACATGCTCACCCCACGGTGCCCCACAGGAAGCCTACACCCGTGTGCTGATGGGCAATATCGATCTCTCCTGCCTCATCTTCCCATCCAACACAGCAGGTGGGTGCCAAACCTGGCACTGGGCAGYCTGGCCCTGCACAGGAYRTCTGGCACAGGGAGCAGGAGGGCGGGGGGTGGGGCCCACAGGCTCATTAGCCCCCATCCCACCTCTTCATTCCTCAGGGAGAACGGTGGAGTCTTTCGCCCGCCGGGCACTCTGGGATGTTGGACTCAACTATGGTCATGGGACTGGCCACGGCATCGGCAACTTCCTCTCAGTCCACGAGTGTAGGTGGCACCAACACCAGTGCTGGGCATGTGGGCTGAGCTGCGGGGACAGGGATGAGGACAGGAGCTCACTATAGCCATCTCATCCCCCAGGAGGGCCTCTCTAGGGGGTGGGGCAATTCCTACTTGCAGTGTCTTTGCCAGGGTGGCCCCATGATCCTTGCTGAGGTGGTCCCATGGTCCTTACTGGGATAATCCAATCAATGGTCCTTGTTGGGATGCCTCACAGTCTTTGCCAGGGTGGTCCCATGGTCCTTACTGGTACAATCACCTTTACTGGGATGATTCTTTTCATCCTTGGTCCTTGTCATGGTGGCCCCATAGTCCTTGCCTTGGTGGCTCTGTTTTCTGTGCCTGGGTGTCTTTATGTTGGCCCCGTGGTTCTCTCCAGGGTGGCAGCCTTGTTCTTGCTGGGGTGTCCCCACAGCCCACACCATCCCCAAGAGGTCTCTCTAACCCACCCCATGTTCCTGCAGGGCCTGTRGGCTTCCAGTCCAACAATGTGCCACTGGGGGCCGGCATGTTCACTTCCATTGGTACGTCCCAGCACCCTTGTTGGCACCCTGGCTGACAGCCTTGGGCACAGGGATGGGGTGTCAGCTTTCAATCCCACTCAGAGTGATCACTGAGGTGATCACTGGAGTGATCTGAGGAAGCCTCTGGGTTTGGGGGCTCACCAGGCATTTTTCCATCCCCCAGAGCCTGGGTATTACCAGGATGGCGAGTTTGGGATCCGCATTGAAGACGTTGCCCTTGTGGTGAAGGCGCAGACTGAGGTAGGGTGATGGGTGGGGTGGCAGGGGTGACATGGGTGGCACAGTGTGGGGGCCTGCATCGAGTGGGGGCAACTCCAAGGTGGTTGGGGACACCCAGTGACACCTCTCTATGGCAGCACCAGAGTGGGGAGGAGCCTTTTCTGACCTTCGAGGTGGTGTCCCTGGTGCCCTATGACCGGAACCTCATCGACCTCAGCCTCCTGTCCCCACAGCAGGTATGGGGGTGTGCCYAGGGTGGGGAGCAGAGCAGGAATGTGAGGTCAGCATGTGCAGCTGCGGCACAGGGGGCCTGGAGGTGGATGCAGTATGAAATCAGGACCATGCCATGAGGCTGGGGTGGGCAAATGAGGACAGAGCAAGGATGGATGAGTGGATGAAGAGGGGCAATGAGCTCCAAGTGGTCAGGATGTGAGGCAGCTTGACAGGGAGAGCCGAGGGGCGGGGGAGGGGGCAGCATCCAGGCCACCCCTCCCACAGTGRTGGATCCCCGTGGTGCCTGGCTGCAGATCCGGTACCTGAACTCCTACTACGAGAGGATCCGAGCGCTCGTGGGGCCGGAGCTGCGGCGGCAGCGGCTGGAGGAGGAGTACGGCTGGCTGCAGGAGAACACCGAGCCGTTCCCGGTGAGCGGCGCTGCGATGGCCACCGCCGCCGCGGGCACASTGGCCCTCGCCTCGCTGCTCTCGGTGCTGCTCAGCGGGCTGGGGGCCTGACCCCGCACATCCCCTCCCACCATGGCCGGGTCTTCCCCCGCGCTCACTTCCTTCCTTTTTTTGTTGTGTTGTTTGCTCGTTTGTGATTAAACATGAGCAAGGCGGGCCCTGCTGTGCCCTGCCGAGCACGATGTGCTGCGTTCTGCCTCACCAGCGGGTGTAGGGCTGGCATCCGAGTCCCAAACCCCACTCCTGGGACCCTGTTTGTCCCACCTGTCAAGCCCTGAGGCGGCCAAGCCAATGTCGACAGTGAGGAGATGGGTTTGAGCAGATTGTAATTCTGGGGCAGAAGATGGAAGATTTGGAGTGAGAAGGTGCAGGGCAGCCAGCCCAGTCAGGGATGTCCCCGCGGCTGCCAGCAGCATGAGCATGTCCCGCCTGGGTGTGCCGCCGAGCCGGGAGGACCTGCGGATACAGGGGACATCCCAGACCAAGTGTCACACAGAGGGCTTGGCTATCCCGTCCCAACAGGATGAGCAGGCACGGGGGTGGTCACGACAGAGGGGTTGGGGACTGTCACCCTTCGCATGGGGGAACACACGATGCTCATCTGCAGATGGCCAAGGGGCAGCATCACCAAGGGGCGGCGGCACTGCCAGGGGAAGGTAGGGCATGGGCAGCATCACCGAGGGGCAGCACGGCCGAGGGGTAGCGGCGTGGCCCAGAGGTGTCAGGGCGCAGAGGTGTCAGGGCGCAGGCACCGTCCCCACCCAGGGGCCCCGGGCAGGGCAGGAGCTCGGTGGAGGGTTTCCTTCCTCCTGTCCCAGCCCGCGCTTCGCCAGCCACCCCGAGCACGGCTGCAAACGCCTCTCATGTGACCGGCAGCTTCCTGTGCGCTGCCGGCTCGGTGCCGGTGCTGCGGGACGGGACGGGACGCGCTCGGCGCTGCCGCTCGCTGTGCCCTCGCCATCCGCCCCAGCGCCATGCTGCGCCGCAAGCCTTCCAACGCCGGSGACAAGGAGCCGGGACACAGGAAGGTGAGTTCTGGATGGGTGAGTTCTGGCGGCATCCCGGTGTCCTCAGCACTGCAAATGCCCTGGCACATCCAGAGCTGTCCAAGCCTGGGCTGCCATGGGGTGCTGAGCAGGAGGGCTGGTGCCGGGGCGCTGGGGCAGAGCGCTGGGGGCTGGGACAGCGTGGCAGCAGCCCGGCCACGAGCTCATCTCTGCTGCCACCAGCCACTGTGACTTTGCCAGTGCACGGTCCTGGGCTTGTCCAGCTCCCACCCTGGCTCGCACCCTGTTGAGATGGGCGGCCGGGATGCGCAGCTCCCGGGATCAGCACGGGTGCCAGCTGGGGTGCCGGTGGGACCCGTGGGGCTCTGCTGGGGGAGGCTGTGCCTCCTGCCCCACCGCCTCGCCAGGCGTGGGCGGCCACCCGTCATTTCCTGGGGGCCCTCGCTGTGCTGGCGGGGGAGCAGCTCCCDGCCCGTTTGCACAGCAAGGTGCTGCGGTCGCGGCTGCAGCTCCATCACGTGCGTCAGCCGCTTCCTCTGGCAGCGCTGCTCCGACATGGCAGCCACAGCAGCCACAGCTGCTAGGACCACGGCCTCTCGAGAGCCTTCTGCAGGGCAGGGCCATGTGCCACCCCGTTTGGAGGCTGAAGTCACCAGTGGGGACAAAAAACAGCTCCTCATTCCCTGCCGAGTCTCGCACCAGCTGGCACTTCAGTTCTTGCCAAGCTTTGCTGGGCTGCCATCAGCTTCAGCAAGTCACCACGGGGAGCAGGGGCAGTGCCCGGTGGCAGGGTCCTGCCCACAACAGGCACACACCCGTGCCATGGCAGCTCCTTCGTGCTGGCAATCTCCCGCGGGAAATCTGGGTGAACTCCTCCTTGCTGCTCTAGGATGGCACATCCAGCTGGGCCAGTCCCAGTGGGCATCCCCCTGCCCTTGCCCAGCCACAGCCACTCTCACTTCCCCCTCCCTGCCGTGCTCCAGGAGAGCTACCCTGACTCACATCCCACTGTCAGGCTCCCTGTGGCTCCTCCAGCCCCAGGGCAGCAGCTTTCCCAGCTCCAGAGCTCTTTCATCTCAGCAGTGAAATCACTGGGGGGTTAAATGGATCTGGTGGGTTCAGGGCACTGGGGTGGGAGCAGGGCAAAAGCCAGCATCTCCTCTGCACAGGTGCACCTGAAGCTGGCCCTGCCACATAAAGCCACAAAGGGGGTGCWGCTGAGCATCCCACCGTGAGCCAGCCTTCTGCAAAGAATGGCAAAACAAAGTGCTCAAGGATGCACAGTGGAGCAGATCAAGGGCCAGGCTGTGCAGGGCCTTGGGCACCACAGGAACTGACAGAGGTGCTTGAGAACGGAAATCCCTGGCTGTGGTGGCAGCAGAGCAAGCACTGTGGTATGTGCTCTGAGGGCCTCAAGGGTGCTGGTGGTGGCAGCCAAGCTTGCCATGCCCCAATGTGCGAGCAGGCTGGCGCTGGCATCCAGGGATGAGGGACATCTGGGACCACATGGCTGTGCTGACACCAAGAACACTCCCAGCATGGGGAAACCCTTCCCGCGTGAGACAGATACCCCAGGATAAGGAGAGAGAAGGCAGGGAGGGGGCACAGGAAAGACTGAAAGGGGYAGGGATGGAAAGATGCACCAGGACTGAGATCCAAAACCAGCTGTGATGGCTTAGGCATGGAGGTGGCACCAAGCCAGCTGCTGATACTGGGGGTGTGCTCTCTGGGCTTCAGCGTGACAGCCACAGGTGGAAAACATGGAAAACTTTCAGTCCTGGAGCTGACACTGTGAGTGGCAGCAGGGGCATGGCTGCTGTGGTGCTCCCAGCCCTTCACTGCCTGCCCACCTGTGCTGAGAGGAGCTGTGGCACTGCAGAGCCCTGTGTCCCCTCATATCCTGACCCCTGTGCCAGGGTGGCAGCATGGCATAGCCTTGGGCTGCTACCAGCATGGCAGTGCCAGGTTCCACGCCAGAGAATGCCCTGGGAGTGCTGTGCCAAGCACAGGCACCAAGAGCTCCACATCCCAGTTCTGGGGAGTTCATGGCACACAGCAGCTCCTGGAAGAGGGAAGACAGGAAAGGCWGTGCCAGCAAAAAAATGCTCCCCAGCACTTGCATCACGCTGGGATGGGCAGAGCAGCCCAAAGTGAGGGGGAGGAGCTGCTGCAGGMAATGCACGAAGAAGCYCTCACACCTTTCCATCTTCCCCCTCACACCTCTATCCCTGCTCCCAGCTTTCTCTACAGCGTTCCAGCAGCTTCAAGGAYTTCAGCAAGTCCAAGGTCAGCTCCCCCGTGTCAAGCGAGGAGTTCAACCTGGAGGAGAATGTGAGTTCCCAGCATCCCCAGGGCGGCAGCACCCCTGATACATCCTGCTCCCCTGGGAACAGCCCGTTTCAGAGCTGATTTCCCAAAATTCCTGGTCTTACCAGTGGCCCACGGTGCCAGCACTGGTGGGCTGTGGGATTTCACAGCCCTGTGTGACCCTGCTGAGGCTTGCCCAGGGCGGGAGGCTCTGCCTTCACTCTCCATCCTTCTGGCAGATCCCTGAGGATGATCCCAGCAGTGCCAGCCCYGAGGATGGTGCACGGAGCAGCAGGATGAAGCTGGGCAGCAAGTGGCGGGCGGTCATCTCCCGCACCATGAACCGCAAGATGGGCAGGATGGCCGTGAGAGCACTGGCCGAGGGGAAGGTGAATGGGGATATGGGGACACAGGTGAGTGGGGGACAGGTGCCCCTTCCTTGGCCTTACGCCGGTACCCCCAGCAGGGAGAGGTGGAGGAGGAGGGGTCCCCATGCCCCCTATCCCCAGCCAGCAGCACGGAAGAGTGGAGCCATGACAAGGTGCCCCTGTCGTACCTGGAGCTGGAGGAGGAGGACGGGCGCCCAGCCCTCGGCCGCCAGCTGTCCAGCGGTGAGGCCAGTCCCAACAGAACACTGGCCCCATGTCCCCAGCTGGGCACATCCTGACCCCCTCCTCTCTGCAGGCAGTGACATTGSCAGCCCTGGYGATGCTGGGGACAGCCGTCGGCTGGAGGAGACTGTTCCAGCCTACACCGGCCCCTTCTGCGGCCGGGCCCGCGTCCACACCGACTTCACCCCCAGCCCCTATGACAAGGATTCCCTGAAGCTGCGGGTGAGCCACRGCTGCTGCGGCCTTGGAGAGGGAGGGAGGGCAGGTGGTTGGGGAATCCCATGAGGTGGAGGTGTTCCTTGGCTGTCCCCAAGCCTGAGCCCACCGCCATCCCTTACCCCTTGGCCCAGAAAGGGGACATCATTGGCATCATCGAGAAGCCGCCTATGGGCACCTGGACCGGGCTGCTCAACAACAGGGTGGGCTCCTTCAAATTCATCTACGTGGATGTGATCCCTGAGGAGACAGTCCCTGCCCGCAGGAGCCGGGGCTCCGGCCGGAACAAGCGCCTCAAGCCCAAGACTCTCCATGAGCTGCTGGAGCGCATCAACCTGCAGGTGAGGGATAGCAGCACCCAGCAAGTGCCCCGTGTGCCAGCAGTGGGACCACCCCCTCTCTGCTCTCCTTCACTCTGCCCCAATCGTGTGGGTCCCTCCACCGAGCACCCCAGGGRCACAGAGGGGACACGTGGGGCATTTCTGGGTAATGGGGGGGTAAGTGCCCACCATGGACCCACACTGAGGCCAGCACTGGGGATCAGAGCCTTGCTCACCCCTGCCCCCCACCCAGGAACACACCTCCACCCTCCTGCTGAATGGGTACCAGACCCTGGAGGACTTCAAGGAGCTGCGGGAGACCCACCTGAACGAGCTGCACATCACRGACCCCCAGCACCGCGCCAAGCTGCTGACAGCTGCTGAGCTCCTCCTGGACTATGACAGTAAGGGTCCGGGGGAGGGTGGGAAGGCCCTGGCCAGGCGCCCCAGCAGCACCTCTAATGCCACAGCACCTCTCCCAGCAGCCAGCGAGACGGAGGATGGGGACAGCTCCGAAGCCTTGCCATCGCCCTCAGAGCCCAAAGGGGACATTCCTCGGGACTCTGGCTGCTTCGAGGGATCAGAGACCCTGGATGGCAGCCGGGAGGAGGCCGAACTGGGGGCTCTCTCCATGGCAGAATCCTCCTGAGCCTGCCCGCACTGCCACTTCCTGCTCCAGCCCTAACAGTGGGGCTGGACAGGAGGGGACAGCTGCTGGTAG